CCCTGGATCGAGGTTTTGTCCCAATGGATTTTCCTGACAAGGTTTTTAATGAGGCAGTGTCACATTCGAAAATGTACTCTTTTTCCTTCACTAGGGTTTTATCCCAAAGGGTTTTTCCTATTAAGGTTTTAACGAGGCATTATTCCGCAAAGATGGGCATTTAAAGGGGGAGTGTTATGAAATATTTGATTTGATTTGATTGAATGTCTATAATTAACATGTATTATTCTATTCACAATCAAGGAGATATGATTCTGTAATATTTAACATTAATGATAGGTCATTCATTTCCCACGGTTTAATCTCCTACTTCTTGTATAAATAGGGAGCTCATTCATACTTCAAAATACATTTGAATACAAGTCTCTTATCTCTTTCTACTCTCTTGTTTCTCCTCTTTGTTCTTATGCTTAGTTTCATATTAGTAGTCTAGCATTAATTTTATAACAATATGAAAGAAACTAGTAAGTCTAAATATATACTGAATGATGAAAGACATATGCGATTTCATTTAAGTAATTATATCTGTTATTAAGAAATAAGCTTGGAAATTAGCTTAATTTGTTTGCTTGAATTTTGAATTGAAAGTTGGCTAAATAATGTATCTTTGCATGGGCCAAATCAACAACTAGCCGAAACCGTAGAATAAAGTATTGGAATTATTAATCACAAAGTCGTTATAAGTTGAGGTGCTCGTTGCCAAATCGCCTCAAATTTTGGAGTGGATATCAAAAAGAGTTGCTACATACTTATGAAAAACTTGACTATATATTTTATATTTTTATTTTTAGTATTATTAAACAATTACTTTTGGAGAGAAAGAGTATAAATTAAGTTGTAGATTGAGGGCTTCAAAAGTTGAAACAATGGAGGGAATCTAAAAGTAAATTATATGATTGGAAATCGAGTTGGAATTAGAGAAGGGGGATGCATGAAATCTTCTTCAAGGAGAATTGAAAGTGTTGTATAAAGTACGGTGAGAAAGGCATGTACAAAATAATCTTGTTCAACAAGAAACAAAAGAATAATGCATATAAGTCGACCTTCTTGTGGATTACTAGTGTTTTAAACAAAGTTTAATGTCATTATTAAAAAAAAAAAATTGGGACTTGAAATACGTCAACATCTACGCCGTTGCGATTTAATTCGACTACTAAATCAACATTTCACAATAACTTCTTTTCGTTTTATCTTTTCCTACGATGAATTACACTGAAAATATTAAATATGAAATCTCTGTTAAAGTGTTAATGCATGGCGCGTACAAGACACTACCATATAATTTCACCGTTTGAATTTATTTCACTCAACATAATGGAAATAGTATTATAATTAAATGGTAAGAATTGGTTAGTTAACCATTAAAGATACTCTGAAAGCAAAAATAAAAATTAAAAGCATACAGAGTACAATCTAGAAAACAGAAAAAGTAGAGCATAAGATTCGAAATTTTGCGTCCGGGCTGCGGATAAAATGAAAAAATTGGCCGATCGACTCAAAAATTGATATGTGTTGTCAATTCTAGTTTATTCTTTTTCGATTAGTCAATATTACCCTAAAGTATCCAATCATTAGCCGATTTTGTCCAATTTGTCAATTTCCATTTAAATTGACAGAATTCTGTTAGTTTTAATTATATAAATATCCTAATAGTTTTAAAAATTATAAAAATTACCCCAAAAATTTGTAAAAATAACAAAACTGTTTCTTTTTAGTTTTATTTTAATTTTTTCTGTTTGTTTTTTAATTTTTTTTACTATTTTTTGTAACTATAAAAATATATTATATGATATTTTTTAAACAAATATTTATTTTTAACTCTAATGTACAAATTTATAATTACATATTTGTCAATCACGTTTGATTTACATAAATATATTAATTTTTTAATAATATGATTTACAGTAATGATACTATTTTTTTAATCCATCTTTTTTAATCTAAAAAATAAAATTATTTAATTAAAACTAATTTTCCACAAAAAAAAATAAAACATTTAGCATAGATTAAAATTGAATTTATTGGTACAATGTAATGTATTACAATTTAATTCAACAGAATTTAGAGTTTTTTTGTAAAATTTAAAAAATAATTAAACTAAAATATAAATTATCTTTAAAAGACTAAGTACGAATAGAAAGTAAAAAAAAAAGGTAAAAAATATTTTATAAAAATATGTATATTTATCATTGCGAGGATTTAACATTTCATGATAATTGTTTTGAGATATTAACATATCTAACTATAGAAAGAAGTTTTTTTTAATTAAAAAAAATCTACTTCAGTACTGAACTCCACCTTTTAAAAAAAAAAATTGAAAAAAGAAAAAAGATTGCCCCAGTGAGAATTGATGCCTCGAACACAGTAATAATCATATCCCATCTTAAATCACATGACCATCCTACTCAACATTCTCACCTTTAGTAGACCATGCTTAAATGTGGATAAAATCACTCTCATTGTTAGAAATCCTTTGGTGATAATTAACCTTATACCTACACTCATGAAGCTCAACATCCTAAACACTAGATTGTAATATATATTTTAGTTTAATTATTTTTTTGATTGGATAGTACAATCTGTAGTTTTTTTTATTTAATTTGTAATAAATTAAAATATCCTAATATATTAATTTTTAATCTATGCTAAATGTTTTAATTATTTATAAAAATTAGTTTTGAGTAAAAAAAAATCTTATTTTCTAAATTCAAAAAAAAGGATTGAAAAAATATTATCATTATTGTCAAGTTATATTATTTAAAGAAATTAATATTTTTATATAAATCAATCAAGAGTTACAAATATGCATATCTATAAATTTATGTAGTAGTGTTTAAAAATAAATAGGTTTTTTTAAAAAATCATATAATATATTTTATAGTTATGAGAAATAGTAAAAAAAATTAAAAATAGAAAAATTAAATAAAAAGTGAAAAAAGACTGTTTAGTGATTTTTATAAATTTTTGAGGTTATTTTTATAATTTTTAAAATTATTAGGGTATTTTTTGTAATTAAAACTAATAAAATTCCGTTAATTTGAACAGAAATTAGCAAATTGGACAAAATCAGCTAACGGTTGAATAGTTTAAGGTAATATTGGCTAACCAAAAATGAATAGGATAGAATTGACAATGCATGTTAACCTTTGAGTATATCGGCTAATTTTTCCCGGATAAAACCATTGATTTCTGGGGTGAGGTTCTTTTATTTATTTTTTTTGTTAAAAAAAAAAATTAATCACTGTGGTGTCATTAGTAATAACCAAAAAACTTTTGCAAAATCTACTCATGACTCACCAGTATAGTGTGTGCCCACTTGGATCCGCAACATAGCACCATTTGATTTGTTCTTCCGACTGTATAATCCAATTATGAACATCACATTTCTATTTACTCACTTCAAATAATAGAATGAATCATTATTGTCGTTGATGAATACTCTATAAATATATATATATATATATATATATATATATATATATACATTTATAGATGGACCATGGATCTATGTTGAGCCCAACTACCATTCACGGGCAACAATTACTCATATACTAGTTAATGGGCCGTCAGAAGCCCTAAAAAGGGCCAAGCCCTCGAATAATAAGGAATATTCCATGAGAATATTCTCCTTCACTCTATTTATAAATATCCCGATTTGGGTGGTAGAAAGTAAGCTCATTCTACTCTCTTTCTTAGCTCAATAACTTTATATTATCACTCCCGGGACTAACTTGTTCGTTAGAGTGCTAACATTTGTCTTGCAGGTCTTAGGTCTATGGACACCATCGGATCACCATCTGGACGGATTTGACCTTCATCATATATATATATATATATATATATATATTGAAAATAATAATATATCACTGGTCTGTTAATTTTCTTTAGATTACTTATCAGTAGCTAGTTAATTACTTATTGATTTTGCACATTAAACCTCTTTAGCCGTTGACTCGACGGTTGTTGTGCTAGGGACTAAACTTCACGTCATAATTAAAAGAATTCTTCGTTGGCAATTAATTAATCTTCTAATTAACAAATTACAGTAAAACCTCTTTAAATTAATACACTTTTTTTTTTGAAAAAAATAAACTTACATTAAAGATTACTAGAAACAGTCCAGCATCGAATGAGATACAAAGTTAGGAGGTTCACTCCATAGAGTTTTAATTATGGAATCATGCTTAGCATGTATAGCAAAAGAATGAACTAACACATTTTCTTCTCTCGGAATCTATAATATGTGGCGAACCGGAAGATCATGACAAATATATATGATGTCTTCTAAGATTGGAAAGCAAGTAGAAGAAACATCGTATTCCATATTTGCAGCAGAGATAATCAAGGCAAAATCTCCTTGTATGGCAATATGTGTTAATCCCAATCTCCGACATAGCAGTAAAAGTTCTCGGAAAGCTAAAGCTTACGCTAGCTCAGGATCAACAATGTTTGGAAACTGTCGTGCAAGTCCAAACATGAAGGCACCATTCTGATCTCGAACAATTCTGATCTCCAAAAATTTATTAATTTATCGAATTATTAATTTATTGATAAATTAATAATTATTAATTTAAAGAGTTTTTTTCTTCAATCATATAAGTAAGAAAATATAAAAATTTATTATTTGCAACCCTAGCCATAACATTATAATTTTGTAATGGACCAAAAAAAATAATTTCAAACTTAAAAAAATTACTTTAGTTAAAACCTAAGTTAATCATCAAACTAATTAATTATTTTAGGTATTTATTAATTTATGAAATTGTGGGGACCTATATTTACATATGAAATTTTTAAAAAGTTATTATCTTATAAATTAATCGAATTTTTTTATTTTTTGTACTGGTCCCGAGTCGGGACCGGAGAAAAATATTATTTAATAAAGTTTATTAATTAATAGAGAATTAATTTTGAGAGGTTTAACTGTACCATGCTCTTCGCATTAAATTTTGAGAAAAATAAAGAGCTTCAGTAAATATTTATTTTTCTAGTGTGATAATCATGCCACAAAGATTTTTAAATGGTATAACTTATACCTTAATCAAAATCACTGGGGACTCATTCCATCGATTAATACGTCACACATTCTTGCTTGCATTCAGCCAAAAACACCAAACTTAATTAATTGATCAGATTTACAAAATGATCCTCCGTATAATCCTTAAAAATTAATCAAGGACAGGGGGAGATTACAAAATTTGGAAAAACTTCTGACCATAATTATCGAAAAATAAAAACGATCTATGATAATATTAATTTCTAGTAGTACTCCATGTTGAAATTTATGCAGTTTGAGAACTTTCCTTAGATTCGCGTTTCTTCATTTCTGTGTTATCAGTAACATTTTCTTTTTCCATTTCGAAGTGATCTGTGGCCGTCACTTGAGCAATATCTCTTACAACCTGTGGTAATTCCAGTAATTTGTTTTCCTGCTCCTTTTCCTTTCCTTCTTTGTATTTTCCCCAAAGAACTGCGTAAAGTCCGACAACGATCAATGCAGCACCCATGACCCTGCGCAACAAAGATGAGCAATTAATTAAGGGATTAAACCACTTGATATATAGTACTCAAAAACGACGACAAGACTAATAATGATGATTAATTTTTATAAACTCATTTACATTGTTGCCGTTCAATTTGTTAAAGTTATGTTTCTAAAATTACAAAGGATTAATTGACATTTCTTAAAAAAAAATTGTTAATCAATTGTGTAAGATGTAATATTGGGGATGATGTAAAAGAGAAATAGAGAAGATAGGTATAGAGAAGTTTTTACCCTCCAAGATATATCTTTTCAGCAAGAATAAATGAGCCCATAATAGCCACAATAATCATCATTAGTGGACTAAAAGCAGTTGCAAAAACTGGACCTTTGGTCTTCATCACCACCCCTTGAACATAATATGATAAGCTAGATGTCACAATCCCCTGTTGCTCAACAAAGGAAAATTAATTAGTTAATATGCGTGTCGACATGCATTGAGTAAATTAAATCACTTTGTAGTATGTGTTTTTAATTAGTGTATAAAACAATTGAGTAGATAGCTTTATTTATTTTAATCCTTTTACTTTGTATGATTTAGTTACATGCTTTTTCCAACCATTTTCATGATAAAGAAAGAAAAATTCATTTCCAACCAAAAAAATAAGAAAAAGAATAAAAAAAAAGGTTAATGAAAGCAAAATCAGTTCTCAAAGTTAATGTAAGAAATTAAAAAAAAAAGAAAAAAGAAGAAGAAGTTATAATAATAAGTTAGAGAGAGTGATAGTATACTAGATGATTCATAAAACCCTATCTCTCCTGAATTAAGTTATTCTCAACATTTATTTACAAGAAATAAAGAGAGAAAAATTAATATTCTTTTTCTCCATTCCAAAATGATTGTACTGGTAGAAGATTTTTACCGCATAAGCAGCAGCCAGGAGATTCATGTCCCAACCGATACGCCAAACCGAAGATTTGTGTTCCATCACGAAAGTGGCTATGGATTGTAGAGTTCCCATGAAGCACACCATTGATGTAAGCGACAGCTGGTGCTTCTCATACGTTTTTAGGGCAACTTTCTGTCATCATCAATCATCATTTATTCGATTTGAGTTATCGTTTTAATCAAGAATTAATAATCCACCCACAGAAAAAAAAAAAAAAAATAGATTACGAAAATGTGGGATTAACCTTACCTGCAAAATGAAGAAGGCAGCCCAAGCGACAGTGGCGATGATGAGAAGGATGCAACCAACGAACCAATCCTTATCGGACGACGTCGTACCGTCGGGGCCGGAGACGTAGGACTTTCGAGAATGGACATGTTTGGACCAAACCATTTCCACAATGGGTCCTTTGTACAAAGTCATCAGCATCGCCCCCGCCACAGTTACCAATGTTCCTAGGATTTTTGCTTGATATATCACCTTCTTTATGTGTATATCCTCCATCCTATACATATATATCATCACAAAACTTAAAGTTCAACCCAAAAAAAATTTTTTGATCAATAAAAAAACAATTTTTTTTATTTTTTTGGGTACAAGTTTGTAAAAGAATTTTTTTATTTTTCTTTTTGGGTACAAGTTTCCTCCATCCTATATATATATATATATATATATATATATATATATATATTATCATTGATGTCTCTTATTTCGTCTCTAAAATATGAAGATTTTATTTTATTTTTTTTTTCCCATCTCACTTCTCTGTATTCATGGTCTTACTCGTTGGCGAGACTCATGGATTTATTAAAAGTCTTTTAATCCCGCTAGCTAGGTCATTACTTTTTGTGCTCGATAATTACATTTTTTTTTTCAAATTAGAATGTAATTCAGAATTTAATTTGGTACGTAGTTTGGAATTTGTTATCAAGATTAGGCATTTGAGCATCAACTTTTGTTATCCCATCACTGTCCTCTCTCAAATTCTATATTCGTTTCTCCACTAATCCCTCCTCTCTACGTCTTTTGAATAGGAATTGAATTTACTAGGATTAAGGAAAAAAAGATTACAAGGAATTAAAATAAAAGATCAAAGAAGGGATAAAAATTAACGATTATATATATATATATATATATGTATATACTTTGTGGGTTCAAAATTACCTGCATATAACGGCCATTATAAAGGTCAAGGCCGGCAGCATGTTACTCATGGCACAAGAAAATGTGGGCGATGTTAATTTCAGTCCAGCGTAGTAAAAGTTTTGGTCAATCACTGGCCTGTAAATTAATAATAACATGTAATTATTCCTTTTCATGTATAAATTCTAAACTCCAAATAATAAATATTAAATATCCAAACCCAAAAACAAAAAAAAAAAGAAATAATTTAGTATTTTATTTACTAACCCAAGAAGGCCAAGAACAAATATTTGCATGAATATTGGAAATGTTATCTTCGGTTGCTCCTTCCTGAAATGGGATAGTCACAGCGTTATATAAGTCGAAAGCGTGATGTAATAATACTTAATTTTCCCATCTATATATAGGTTTTTGTCCTGAAATGACACTTTTAATTAATCTGTACTAAAACTAAAATTTTATGCTGAATAATTATTGTAGGACAAATTGATATGAACAACATATTGAGAATTATTGCTGTGATATGCAAATGTTTAAATCGTCAATCAAATTAATTACAAATATTGTTCAACATGTTAAAACTTGGTTTTTTGTACCAAGTTTTCTGTATCAGTCGAATTTGTTGAATTCCAGCAAGTTTAATGGAAAAGTATGTTCTTTTTCAAAATTAAAAAAAAAGTTCTGAAAAAAGAAATGAATAAAAGAAAATAAAAATGCATAAGCTAGTATATATTTGCAACCATATGACACTTTCTCCGTGCCCAAGAAAAAAAAAACTCGGTTTATTATTAAAACATTCAATAAAATGGTTATTTCTTTTAGGACACAAAGAACACTCATTTATATAGATACATCATCACTAACAAAATCTTCTTTTCCTTTTCATAGACAAATCGTTTATATCTTCTTAACAACAAAATCATATAAATTTTTATTGAAAATTGAAATTCACACGTACTTATAAATATTATCGACGAGATTAAGAATCTGGTATGGTAAAACTCATGTTTTTTTCTTTTTTCTTTTTTTTGTTTGCATAGTAAATTGATTACTATGTGCTTGTATACCAAATTATATATTCAAGAAATTAATTTATAGAGAACAAGATGACGTCATTTTACTTAATAGATAAAAGGAGACTGAAATGAAAATCCGATACTGCAAAAACTCATGGTTTTGTTGTGAGAAACTGCAACAAACTAGGTACTTGCACACCTAATTCTTTCTTAGGGAGAGATTAAAAAGATAAAAAACCCCTTAAAAAAAAAAAAACACACACACACACACACACACTCCATTTAATGTACCTTTCAAAGAAGAAAGCCAAAGGAGCAATGACAGCGGTTGCAAATGCATGGCGATAAACAACAAGCACATAATGGCTCATTCCATGGTTTAGTGACACTTTTGTGATGATGTTCATTCCAGCATACCCAAACTGCAAAGACATCATGGCTAAATAAGGTTTGGAGCTTTTAAGGAAACTAACACATGATCGGTTCTTCATCATCATCATCATCATCTTTTTATTCTTTCTTTTTCTTTTTCTTTTTTTTTTTTTTTTTTTGGTTTGATTTTTCTCTTGATGATGATGTTCTTCAAGCTAATTTGGCAGCAAAAATGCTTGAATGGGAGAGAGAGAATCTTATGAACAACTATATCTCTGTTGTTTGGAAGTGTAGGAATATGGGTACACCTATTTATATTGGCAAATCAAAGTATCTATCCAACTGAATCTTTTATTTTATTGTAATTTTTTCAATTTATTATCGTTGTTGATTCTTTTACAGTGCACCTTAATTAATTTTTCCATGGTGTCTATAGATATTTTAGGCACCAAACGAATTACTGGGGATATCAATAAACATATTCCAAGTGAAATGAATCACTTCCCAACCTAATTGAGGAATTTGTTCCCTTTGTTTTCATTTTCGTTTTTGTTCTAAAAGTAACTAATATTACTCTTCACATCCTAAAAAAGAACAATCGTAATTTATAATTCAATGTTCTAGCAGTAGATCCTATAATATCAAAGAAACTTACTTCCTCCGATTCTTAATATAAGGCATTTTGATTGGTCCTATATTTAATCTAGTATATATTTATAATTGACAAAAAAACCTTAAAAATATTTCATTACAATCAAGAGAATACAACGAATGTGAAAATACATGTTTAAGATTTTTCCGTCAATTACAAATACGTACTAGATCAAACTTAGGACAAATCAAAATGCCTTATATTAAGGACCGGAGGGAGTATTTGTGAGGATTTTTAATTTTTTTTTTTTGTTCACAAGAAAACATTGAAGAGATTTTTTTTTTTTTTTTTGTTAAGGGGGAAAAAAAAGGAAAACTCATACATACTTTCTGTTAACTCATCGAATGTCGTATCTGTGTATGTTTTCGTCAAAAGACTTCAAATTTCTAACTAGGAAGTAATAATATAGAAAGAAGAAAAACAAGTCTTATTGAGTCAAAACTTTACAGAATCCATCATATTGTGTACAATATACGTACGTTAATTATCAGTTTGAAACTTCATTTTTATTTAGTTATTTTTTATATTACTTCCGATATGGTTTGAAACTATTGTTTCGACTAATTTAGATTTGATCAATTTTTTTTTTTCAGGAGGTGAAATTTTGCCAACAGATATTCAACGGAATTAACACCGTGCAAAAGGCGAGTCTTAATAATTATTCTACTTATAACTTAATAATTAAACACCTTGATGTTAAAGAATCATTACTACAAGATAGTGGTGTGCAGCCAAAGCCAATCCTTTAAGGCAACAACACCAACATCATGGAATCTGATGGAGTATCAAAAAAGTAAAAATTCTGATTATCCATTTTACATAAAATATTCTTGCATGAGAGGAAGTTGAGTATGACCTGTGACATGAAATTTCAAAAGAAAATTAAAAAAAAAACTAATAATTAAAATAAAAACAAGAGAGGGTGGTTTACACGTCCTAACAAACAAACAGACAATCCGACTCATCCAAATGAAAAGATGCATTGCGTAAGCTCAAGAAAAACTCATGATTTTTATTCGATTTTAGTGAAGAAATGTAATATATATATATACTATGGGTCCTATATTAAATAGTCCGAAATTTATATTTAAATTTTCATATCTGAATTTATGAGATTTCTAAACCTAATTGACTATGCATTAGCAATAAATTCGATAAATGAACGTACTCTGTATATGCCTTTCGAAATTTTATAAAAAGTTAATTATTTTCAAAATCTGACTATTTGTGTAGAACGGAAATTTAAAAGGAGTAAATATAATGCTACTCCTAATCAGGATTCATTATTTGATTCAGACAATACAGTCTTCGTCTTTAATTATTTCTTTTGTTTATTCTTTTAGAGGAAAGCATCTTTTTTATACGTATATTAATTAATTAAGTTCGTATAGTTACAGTTACTTTTATTGGAGTCTCGCTTCCCAGCTAAGTTATTGCCCTTCATGGGGCTGCATCTCCCTGGGAGCTTTATTATTAGTAACATAGGTCATAATCAGTTCGGTGGAATTCACTGAGGTCCGGCTACTTGCTTTTGGGATTCAATTGACATTAGAATATTTTGGAATTCAAATAGCATTCAAGATATTCTAATTCAAAGTCAATTTATCCGTTTGACAAAATCATAGAATTGGTCACAAATTCAATTGGGATTCCAAATTCTCTGTTCGTATAGTCTAGTAATTGGGTTGGTTTCGGTTTTTGCTTATTTTTTACAAAAATAAATAAAAAAGAAAAAATTGATATATTTTGAAATTATTTCAACTTTTAATTTTTGTTATGTTAAATAGTATTATTTTTAGAATAATATATTTTGTTACCATATTTAAGGTGACAAAGAGGAAACTCTTTAAATTTTTTATTTTTTAAATTTATCAATTATTTATATATTCATTATCATGATCAATTTAGGTAATTCCAACACTGTTACATTAACATAAATATAAAATTACAAAAATTGGTTACATATGTAATAATTAATTTAGTTAAAGTGATTATTTTGAAACCAAAGAAACTAAACTGATTATAAAATGAAAGGGTGGTATCACCCAATTTTATATATAATGTAACAACCACCCAAATATTTTATATATTCTTATCAAACATAGAATCGGGTGAAAATACTAATCCAACCAATGTTACTACCACTAAAACCAAATGATTCTACATTTCATCAAATTTTAGAAAAGAAGATGTCAACCCAATTTTCTAGCTTATGACATCAGCTATGCTAAATGCATCCTTTCCACTATCAATAGATGTATTATATATAATACACTCGCCCAAAAGCACAATAGCTAATCCTCTTGTACAGACAGTTGTAGCTGGATTAGAAACTAACTTGAGCAAATAAGTTAGGTGAGGGCGTGAATCAAAAAAGCACTGTACTGCACTTGGACAACCAGAGAGCCAGACAATTAGTAGTTTCAAGATAACTGGTTCAACATATGTGTTCCGAGATGCGCTTGATTTTCCATCATTACTTTTCATAGAAGAGGAAAGAGCCAGGTACTTCACCATGCAATGCATTAAAGGCTTTGAACCTCCTAAAGTTGGTACCATAGCTTCGAGTTCAATTCGCAAAACCTACACCAATGCATGGCTCCATAACAGGAAAAACAAACGTTAAAGTTTCCTTTTACTGTATCTAGTGCCAATACTCGAAAAAAAATCTGCTTCAGATAACAGATATTTTCTTAGAAATTTTTACTATCCAAAAACAAAAAAAAAACAAAACACGACAAATAGAGGGGATGTTGAAGTTGCATACCTTTTCTTTACATTGTAAATTATCCTTCAGGACATGAGAAAGAATGCTCGCAGCTCTGCAGCGAGTCTGCAATAAACAAAATAATTAACATACCGATGCTCATAGGTTTGATACAACAAATAACAATCTCAGTGGAGAAAAAAGGACAAATATAAAAATGAGAACCAGCAAATTCTGAGAGAAGAGGGAAAAAAGTTGGCATTTTCCCAAATAGCTAAAGATGCTTGTAATGTTATCCTTCACAACAAAATTTACAAGAATTAAGCTTGACTTTATTTTTGTCCCTTTCTTGAATCGGTCATTACCAATTGGTAGCCCAGGAAAAAAAAAGAAAAAAGGAAACATTAAAACAACACTAGACATCATTCTTTCTTGAATGAAAAAGGCCAAAGAAGGCTAGGAGAAGAATGGAACCAGAGAAGAATAGTAATTTAAAAGTTTTCTCTTCCTATATTCAGATGCTAATGGGTTAGCATACATACCTCGAGGTCACCATTGCTATCACTCATTGTAAGACCATGTAACAGCATATTGCCAAGATACATTGATAAAAGTTACATTTTCATACAGAAATTTAAACTTTTCCCATCATTTAGCTATACCATTGATGAACTCTTCCTCCACTTCCTCAATTAGAACAGAAGGCAATGAGACAGATTTAAAAAACATATATTTTTTTAAAAAAATTCTATAACCATTGTAAGTGTAAGCTTACAAGGAGAAGGTACTCTGTAAGAGGGAAATTGGAATCTACCTTCCAAATGACATGTGCACATCATCTTCATATGGAGCATAAGTCATCGACTATGGCTGCGGGGTCAATGTTGATGCTAACAATTTCTGGCCATCAGGGTTTTTCTGCATCCAATAGGCAAACTTGACATATTATTGAAGAGAACACTGGAAGGTGAGTCTGCAGGGTATAAACTTGATAAAGGCAAAAAACATTCTACTAGTTTGAGCAGTGAACCATTATAGGCATATTTTCAAAAAGTTCAAAAAAAGCAAACTACTAAAGTAAGAAACTACAAAAGGCAAACCTCACAGAAGCTCTTAAAGACATAGTCAGCAAGACAGCAACTATAAACTCTTGAACACTGGAAGTGCGCAAGATAATCCTTGGTTGTCTCCCAAGTCAATTCATGCAAAGCATATAATTTCCATTTCATTTTCTATGCTTAAAAGTATGCCAATGGCTTATCTACCAACACAGAACTAGCTGGTAAGGACAGAACACAATTTTAGCAAAAATTCCAAAACCAGTAGACAGAAAATAGCACCAGCTTTGACATTCCAAAATGCATGCAAGCCCAGCTGCAACTCGGAGGTAAAAAAAGCGCATATCAACAGTCATTGACTAAATGAAGCCTCTAACAGTTTCAATATCAACTTATTCTCATGGACCGACACAAAAGGAAGAAATGATTATGCAGAATGAATTGAAAGCTATAATTTCCCATATTACAGTTGATCTGATTGTAGCACATTGATTTAAGAAACTCAGATAGCGGAATGTATTGTATTGAAAACTTAATAGGCAGCCTTTAATATACAATATGTAACAAGCATCAAAGTGATTTGCATTTATCCATGTTTGACTCACAACACATATGCCTTCGTATTGACTTTTGCACAATCTCGGAATATTTTAGAAACTCACCAAAAAGCAAACTGAATATAACGAGAAGTTTAAAAGTCACTCACAAGCAGGAATGGGTCCCTTCCAAGGCCAGGACCAATTACAAGACAACCAAATCTCTCCATCCACTTATCTACCTCTCCAATGAGGATATTGATCTTTTATCCTCATCCCTGAACATATAATCTTGGAAAGTTAGTTGCCAAAACCGAAGTGAAAGCCAAACAACACCAAAATCAATGATAACTTAAATTGGCAACACAAAAAGGTTAACAGTTAAGAAATCACCTGATGAGGAAATAACAATTAAGCCTCTAACAGTTTCAATACGGGCCAATGTATTTGCCAGATTACTTTACATTGAAGCACGGAGAAAAGAAAACACATGATGTAGAAATGACTTCAATATTATGATCCCTGATATTTAAGCTTATGCAGTCCCCGACGAAGACAACTTTATTAGGCAAATTTGACCAATTTTATTCATAAAGACTCAATTAAACTAGTATCATCGAAACCACAAAAACAAAAAAATTAACAAAGAGGGAAAGGGAGGAGTTGTAATTTACCTGACTTCTTCCGATATTCTGATGCCTTGCTATTATAGTTATTATTCTCGTATCTTCGAGGTAAAAAGACGCCGGTCCCAGAAAGTTCCCTTTTCAAACCACCACTAACACCGCCGAACCCATCGGAAGATCCGTATCCAAACCCATACCCGTATCCAGCTCCGACATACGTTCTTCCCTTAACACCGAAATCTCTAAACTGAGGATTTCTTTGCTGACTCGACCAAACACATGGAGATGGCCCCATACCATTTCCTCCGATGCTACTCCAATTTTTCCACTAATGTTTTGCAAAATCTCTTGAGAATCAACTCTCCACCCGTTATTAACTTCCCTGCTCCACATCCCACATGCATCCTGCCTCGTCACCTATCAAAAACACGGTTTAAGATTTCGAATATGACTCAATAAATAGAACCCACAAAAAATTCAGACAGATCCTTGCTGAATTAAGAAGAATTTTAGTGAAATTCAAGATTAGAAGTGATGAGAAGCTAGCCCTAATCTAATCAAAAAAAAGAAAAAGAAGGGGATAAGAAAGATTACCAGGAACAAGGAGTTTTCTCCTCCTTCGCATTCGCCGTCGCCGTCGCGGTCTCCGTTGCCGTCGCTTGGGATTTTTGCCGGAGATGGAATGGATTAATGGTGGAGAAAGTCTGGAGGAGGAAGAAGGGGTACGCAAAGGAGTGGAAAAAAAAATAGTGGTAAAAAACTTTTAAAAAGGACCCGAACCCGAATGTTTATTAAAAAAACCCGCAAAAGACCCCCGAATTATTTAACTCCACAAGAGTTTGGAATCCCAAATAATAATTTCAAGCCCGTAATTAAAATTGTGGCATTGGAAGCCTTTTGACATTGGGCCAACGCAAATGCCATCTTATTTTTGGGCAAACGAACACCGAATTTGACATTGGAGACCCAAATTCCAAATCCAAGGCCCTAATTCCATGCAAACGAACAGAGCGTAACTTCATTCCTGAAAATGTTTTCAAAATTACATTTTGAACGATCAAAGTCAATAATAAGTTTTAGAGGGGAAACAAACAAAAGAAAAAGAAGTCACCTGTATTCCCAGAATCACCAATATAGAGATGATATAATTGTATTTCTGAGAATTTTTTGTTGCATAGGATCTTAGTAATGCTTAAGAGAATTAGCAGTATCATTTTTTTATTAAACGAAAGAAGTAAAGTTTATAGATCAAAATAACACCACACACACACATATATGTATAGGAATTCAAAAGGACCGCCACTTATTAGGTTGAGTACTAAATACGGGTGTCAAACCCATATCTATCCATAGCTAAACACAATGCATTTCATTAACCTCGGGGAAAATCACTATCATATATCTTACACGTATTAAAAAAATAAAAATAAAAATAAAAGAGGCACTTAAATAGAAAGGTACAACAAAAAGAAAAAATGATGAGGTAAGATTCATAGTGAGGAATGATGTGTTTCTCCAAGAGAATTAAAAATTCTCCCAATCCCTCTTTTCACAATTAAGAAATTTGTTATTGTCCAACCAAAATAAAATATTATAGATTTAGGAGAGGAGAAAAATCGATGACGAGAGTTGAGTTTTTAATGTGCGTTATTGTCAATATGTAAAAGAATTAAGGAAATTATACTAAATTTCAAAATACAAATTGGAGAATAATATTATCCTCAAATTTAGTACAATTTCAACTAAAATTAAAATAAGATTTAGACAAAATTTTCGAAACAGAGGGAATATTTTATATTCTAACATTGCTTTCGTAAGTGTAATTTTCTTGCACCTTTTAAAGTATATTTGATACTTGACAATAATTGTGGCTATACAGACCAGACGGAAAAAGGTACAACATCAGAGCATGAATCCAATATATGTTGATGTATCATTTCACCATAGATGGATCTTACTGTGAAGGGAAGGAGGCAAAGGGCACGGGATCCTATTTTAGAGAAAATTTCCTTTAAGCGCATTGTAGAATATAAGGGTTAAAATTCTTAAATGAATTGTAAATTTTGCTTAATCCCTGTCAAGGGTTTTGAGTTGTTTATGTCATTTACATATTATTAAAACACTTGTATATACTAGAAGCTTAAAGCCCGCCAAGAATAATGTAAAGATCGCCATTGACCGAAAGTTAACTTCCAATTTTACCCTTATATTTTAAATTTCAAATTCAAACTTTAAAACCCCAATTTTTAACCCTACAGTCCAATCTTCCAATTTCTTTCAACCTCAAACACTCTCTAATCTTCAATCTTCATAAACTTCAAATTGACGGCTGGAAGAGATCACCGTCGCGGGAAACATCCACTGGAACGAGTACGTTTTCTCAAATATTTGAACTTTTTAATTTTTTGAAATTGAATTTTTTTTTTTTTTTGAATCTGAAAAAGGGTGGGCCGATGGTGGTGACGTCCGAAAAGCCGCCGACCCACCAGCCTGCCGTCCCCGAAAGCCGAAATTGGCATCTGGGACGTCGACCACCGATTTGGACGGTATGGACGTCCAAATCGAAACTTGTCGGCAGGAACGCCGTCAAGTTTGGTGGCCGCCATCGGCGTCCACAAAGAAGCCGACGGCGGTGGTCACATCCTCAGGAAAATGGGACGACCCAGGTGCCGTCCTAGGGCAGGATTGACGGCCCAGCTGCCGTCGACAGGAAACGTGGACGGCAGGGACGCCGTCCACCTGTAAACAAGACGGCAGCACCCGGTGCTATTTTCTGACCGGCAGCGCCGCCGACCAGGCATTTTTTTTTAAAAAAAAAAAATAGTAATTTAATTATTTATTGTTTTTAAATTATTTTTTTCAGTTTAGTAATTTAATTTATTTATTATATTTTGTTGTTTTATAATTTAGTTTTTAATTAGTGTAATTTAGTTCTTTTATTTTATTTAGTTCTTTTAATTTAATTAGTTTAATTTAGTTTTTAATTACTATTAATTAGTATTTACTTTAATCTAGTTAGTTATTAAATAATTTAATCATTAATTATCGTATAAATATAGTTTCTTGTTGGAATTCGTTTATTAATATGATTACTATGAATTAGTATTTTTTACAATTAATGATTATATGATTTATTAGTGAATTAGATATTGTTGAACGAAATAATTTGTATTAGTGTTATTATTTGGTTGTTTAATTAACATTGATTAAATGCAGGAATCACTTAGTCCGATCAACAAAGAATCGGGTAAGCGGCATGTGAAATCGCGAAATGTCCTGCCATCGGGTCATAATGAAAATGAACATGTGGAGATTGAGGAGATGGAAGAAGAAGTGAGTGCCAGCAGTAATGCACACCGAGCTGAACACACGTATATCAGCAGGCACCCTCGTTTGAGCAAGAAGAGCCTGTCCACAATGTTTCACAATCAAAAAGTGGTGAATTATCCCCCCCCCTCCCCCTAATTCCACGACTTCGTTTTATCCTGACTGGAGGTCATGGTAGCACTGGGACTGGGACAGATTCCCGTAAGGTTGCTACAGTAGCATCAGGTATGAATTAATTTTATGTGAAAACTGAAATTAATATGAATCATATAATTATTAGTTATTTGATGTTGAAGTTAATAAATAAAATCTAATAATTACATCCCATTTCTTTTTCAGGGAGTAGCAGCCAATCGAAAAATCGGATGATCGGTCATGGATTGTAATGGATGCAGTATCCGGTGGACCTGAAGATGGATCGGTTATTCCCAGCTTCAATGGACATGTTGCCTCTTTGTTATGGCAGGGTACGGATCGAGGTTGTCTCAAGTTACAGAACAGATACACTGTTTGTCAGATGTTGACAGGCTGGAAGAGTTTCCCAGGTTTTGAAAGGGCGAGGCCGCTAGTCAAGGCGACTAGGTTGTCTCATCTTCCAAGACTGATGTTCTCGCATAATGATCTCGGCCTAGCATGTGCATTCGTGGAGCGATGGCAGCCATATACGAATTCGTTCCACATCTCTTTTGGTGAGATGACCATCCTACTTCATGATGTCCAGTGCATTTTGTCCATCCCTGTGGAGGGAGAGATGGTGACGGTCATTCCTAAGTGGGAAGCAGTGAAGAACCACTCTATGGGTCTTTTGGACATATCTGCGGAAGATATGAAACCCCCTAACTATGAGAGTGGTGCTATGTTAGAGTCATTTGTCATGGACCGAGTCCGGAATAGCACAAACCCAGAGGTACAGGCCACTGCTTGGTTGTGGGTGATGTTGAATGCCACATTGTTTGTTGACAATAGTAGGGGCGGCAGAATACATGCACAGTTGCTGCACGAGCTTTTTGATGACCTTGATGGTGTTTCAAGTCGTTCCTGGGCATCTGCGACTCTAGCATACCTTTACTGCTAGTTAGGGATTGCTAGTAGAGGTGGTGTTAAGTAGATGAGGAGTTGTTTGACCCTATTGCTAGCCTGGATATATGAGTATTTCCTGATCTTTCAGCCTCATAACCCACACTAGGTGGGCGATGGATCTGGAGCTGCACAATGGAAGCCAGCCGCGCGTACTGCTGTAGGGGAGAGGTGCGATTGAAGAAGTTGCGGAAGGACCTTGACAGCTTATCCCCCGATGATGTAAGTTAATTGTTCCGATTTTGTTGTTTGTTTGTTTCTTAATTTTTATTAATTATTTATTAATATGTATAAATAATTTTTTATTTTGTAGATGGTGTGGGAGCCATTCGGTAAGGACATGTACAAGATGGTGCCTAGAACAATCTTCACTGGATGGCTCACTTTCAGGAATTTTGTTAAGCCATATATGCCAGATCGCGTGCGTCGATAGCTCGGTTATGTGCAGATAATTTCTATGCCAATTTTTGTCCCGCAACTTGCATCGAGGTCGATGAGTGGTGAAAACTACAAGGATGAGTTTTCTGAAGTGTATGTGGGTAATGCTTGGCTTAGATACCCTCAGTCAGGTGCCTTATTCTCAGCTCGTACACTCGTTCCGCGAAGGCAGCATGTGCTGATGGTTATCTCGACTGGTTCTACTATTATTCCTATCCTAAGATTCTGGCCGAGAATGAGGGTTCTTCAATAGTCAACTCTATTCTATCGCGCGTTAGTGTTAAACACATAAGTTGTTTAATATTTTTCTGATTAAGTTTGTATTAAATGTTATTATATAACAATTATTCTTGTATGCTTCTACGTTAATGTAGTGGACAGATCAGTGGTCCGACCTCGCTGCTAGAGCTATCAACAGGCTGAGGCTGACCGATGATGACTATGCCCCGGAATTACAGAAGGAGTATGATGATCTCATTGTCGCTGGAGCCAGACGCGCTGATGTATTTTGCTTTGCCTTGTTTTTTAATTCGGACCATGTTTATTAGTATTTGTTTAATTATGTTTGAATTTCAACTTAGACATTGTTGTATTTGTGACCTGTGATTGTGTTTTTCAATTATGTTTTTTAACTTGTTCGTACATTACAACTAAAATATATAACTACAAACAAATTGAATGACATTGTGCTAATAGTTAGCTGACAATCTCAAATACACCAATCCGCATATAACTGGTACTCTAATCAACATTAAAGGGAGAAGAATGAGAGGATTGTGTTCGTCCATTATCGGGACATAAAGTGTGCCACAGCTCTATTCTCTTGAGATATGGCTGCTCCCAACCAATAATGGAAGTGTCACGGTGGCGGAACCATTGGTAAGGTATGGATGGAACTGGAAAATTTGAACCCAGAAAATCTAGCCGAATGTAATGCTTGTAATCGCCTAGGTGAGCAATGACAATCTCCTGAACAGGTTCGGTTAAAGGCCCATTAGGGCCCCTGGGAGCGATGAGGGGCAATATAGTGCTCGATGATATATTCATATTCTGACCTCTTACTCCACGCCTGTACAAGAAGAGAACCATGTTGAAGCGAGTGGCATACATGAGCAAGTCCATCAAAGTAATCATGTAATGATCTTCGGAACAAGGACTCTTATATATACCATCGTATGCGGTGAACATGCTTGGGAATGTCCCTTTTGAAGAAGAAATCGTACAAATCTGGACGTTCCTCTAGCTCATCTGCGCCAATTCTTCTAGAATTATGCCATTGATGCTCGGATCCAAACAAATGGCTCGCCATAACGCGGAATCCACAGTTTCCATCACCCAGCACATCAACATATCCACTAATGTAGGGAATCATACAAGGCGCAATCCTCTCTAGGTTAGCATATTCGTAAATGTTTTGCTGTACCACATCTGTACCGTGAAAAATACATTACCATACACTAATAAACAATATATAGTGTTCGACGTAAAAACAAAATCATAAAAAATATTAATAAAGGGTTCTTACCTTGAGGAGGCCCATCAGACTGCCGAAAATCCCATTGAATATAGACTTGTTTATGTGGCTTGTTCTTGCTTCCTTTCCGGCGCCCCTTGCCTTTCTTCTTCTTCTTCGGTTGCTTCGAAGGCCCTCTATCTGGGTAAATTTGATCATAGAGCCAACCATTCGTCCTGCGCATAACCAATGGATCTCCATTCTCGACCACGCCAACCAAATGTTTCCACAAGACTTGATCATCTGAAAGTCCATCAAGCCTAGAATTGACGGGACTCTCGTCGATATTGAGATTAGCCCAAAACGGGTTGAGATCAGAAACCTGAATTGCCGGACCCGCGTCCACTGTGATCTTCATCTCACAGCCACAAGGAATATCATGAGTAGATCTCAGCTTATGATCACATACAAAGTTGTTTCCCTTTATCTGCATCTCTTCATACTTTTTGTGCAGCTTTTGCAAATAATGGTGCGAAACAACAGAATTGAGGTGGTAAAATGGATAACCACGGTATGGTATTCCATTCTTGTTTCGCGATTCTTCTAGTGTTCTCCTGAGTGACAAAAAAATCAGGAAAAAATATATTAACACCCAAAAAAAATTAAAGATACAGATATGAATATTAAACTAAGGCATTACGTACCTGATTTCAATTAGTTGCACCTCAATCTCATTGTGCGCCTTTCCCCAAATCGTGTCAATAGCATCTGTTGGCGAGTCAATCCAATTCTTTAGTGCCTTATGTGCACTCTCAACTCTGCACGTTGTCGTGTTCCTATAATTATGAATAAATTTAACTAAATTAATTGAACGATAATGCAAAATATAAAACTAAAGTAATTATACAAAAAAAAATGAAAACAAAAAAATTATATAAAATTAACACAAAAAGTTAGAAAAAAAATTGAAAAAAATTTTTTTGACCAGGGTGGCCGGCCGTCGGCCACCTTTTGAAGGTTGGTCGGTTTACTCAACGGCCAACCGGGAAGAAATAGTCGACCCAACAAGTGGCCACTTCTTTGCGGACGGCCAGCCCAATGGCCTGTCACTCTAGGCAAAATTTTTTTGTGTAATTGTCATTATTTTTTATATTTACTTTAGTTTTATTTTTTGTGTTATATATATATTGATTTAATAATATTTTAATTTAATTGAATTTATTAGGTATTATTAATTTAATTTAATAATTAGTATAGATTAAATGCAGAAATTAGATATAATAAGTTTTTTATTATTATATTCAAATAAAGAATGCACTAGATATTATATTAAAATTATACGATAAATATATTGTGTATAGATTTTTGTAATTAAGTAAGGGTTCGAAGATAAAATTGTTCAAAACGAATTGTAAGTGAGTAATTTGTGAACTGCGAAAAGCAATTCAGATATCGGGTAGCATACAATCTATATCCAAATGAACAAGATAATATCGTCTTTTTTACAGCGGCCTTTATCTTTTTTCTGGCGGCCTTTAACATGCCTTTATATATAAGCCAAAAAAATGAAAGAAAAAGAAATCACGATTTCATCATCAATTTGCTTCTAAGACATTGACTATTTTTCTGAAATCTCTGTAAAGTTAACGGTATCCTTCTCAAATTAAAATTAATCATATTTGGGAACTAAATAGTATATTAAAATTTGAAATTCATATTTAAACAAGTGCAAATTTTAAAATTTCATGTGAACTATTTTTTAGCACATAGGTAAGTAGAAAAAATAAATAAATGAAATAAAAAAAACCTTCATCGAGGAGTTGGAAACAGTATGTACTTGGATGTTTACTAGATCAACGTTCAATTTCTCCGAGACGAGAAAATAAATGGAACTGAAAATTTATCGAGCCACAAAACAAACTTGCCTTGTGGTTGGGGTTAACACCAGATCTGGACGGAAATGGCGTGAAACTGTAGCGTAGGTTATACTATACCTTTTTGTTAATACCAAAAAAACAATGTGGCGTAAATAACTTGGTCCTTTTGCTCTAATACGAATAGAATTGTGTCCAGTTAGGTAAGTTTTCTGTTTGTCCAATTTGGATATTTGTATGTCAACATTTCTACTTTCCCTAAACAACACATCAGATGAAACATGCAACACTATATATATATATGGTTGCTTCGCACTGGAACCTACAACCATGAGCAGTTTCCAAGTCAAATAATCAGGCTACTCTTTGATCTGGCTTCTATGTTTCATTTACGCTCTAATTTTTACTGAGCATGTCTTTGGCATGTATGAACAAAAGAGCCAAATTGATGCAAGAAGGATCTTTACCTAGTAAGAGTACTATATTCCCCCCATTGCGGGAGGCACCTCTAGTGTTTCATTAGTACCAAATATTACCCGTGTTGACGTGTTGTCAGTAGATCATATGGATCTGGTAGCCACATTTACACAGTAGAAAATGCCTACTTCCTTTCTAAACGAGAAGACAGCATTCATCCCAAAATTGGCACGCCTACTTTGATACCCTGTACGAATGACAAACTTACCTGGAAATTGAAAGCAGGGTGTCAAAGACATAAAGAAGCACCATGGAAAAATCTAAATGGTGACTCAATTCTTTTTTAATCAGTGGAAAAATTATGATAATTTGGTCGCAAAAAGTACCATCATTTATCCTGTCTTAGATCCCTGAACTGGCGTTTAAGGTCTTCCATCTCTTTAGCTTGCGCCTGTGAAGGTATGAATTTTTCAGTTCAACTTAAGCACTGCGACCGTGCAAGGAAGAAACAGAGCTTACTTAAAAGCTAGAAACTAAAAAAACAAGAAGCTAGTCGAAGACATTTCCGACGTACCTCATGCAATGCTTTCCACTGCAGCTCTGACCTTTCTTGTAGAGCAAACCATTCCATGGCTAGGTCATGTTCGATAGTATTGCCCTGACAGAAGTGAGCAGTTGATACTGCATTTTTCTTTAACAAGAAAAGCAGCCAGGAAAATATATGAAAAACTGTTCAAGTGAAGTGACAGTAGTAGAGTAAACAAATTGTTAGTGACTACTGTGGTACCAATTCGGCAGAACATAACTACATTGCAAGAGTGACTATCACTTAGTCGCCACCATTATGCATACACCATGCTATTCACGGAGAGAATTGTTGAGAATTTTCAATGAGGATACCACCATGCCCATAAAACACACGCACAAGCAATACACTTTTTAGCCTTGAAAGTGCAGCGGCAGAACATGCAAGTTGTGAAAAGCATATAAATCACCTTGTCTGCATTCTGCTTCAGCATTCTGTGCAGCTTCAAAATATATAGATGGCCAAAGAACTTTGGTGGATTGCCACAATCCCCGAGTTGTATTCTTCGACCAACAATAGGCCTGCATAAAATAGAATGCTGAAATTAAATATCCAATAATCTTCACGCAAAGAAATACCATTTAAAAAAAAAATGCAAAGAAATAGTAGTTCTCCTTCAAAGCTAAATACGAGGTCTTAAGTTTGTATTTACAACCATTTTTCTCTCTCCTTTACATGGTTGGAAATTATTTGAACATGAGCACCACAAACCAAATGAAGGAAAATAAATGAAATGAAACGGAGATGGGAAAAAAGGTGGTGACACACAAAGCAACTGTAAGAAACCCTCGAACTAGAACAGAACACCTACATGTAACTCACACTAAGGAAGTCCGCTTTCCTGGGGCCACGGGAGATGTTATGATGATCATACATAAAATGCAATTTAAGAAGCAGATCAGCACAGCTTACCCTTGATCACCTAGCATAAGACTTCTCTTTTCCAAAGAACAAATAGAAGAATCTGCAGCATCTTTTGATTTGAATATGACAAATGCTTTCCCTGAAAACAAGTCAACGTCTTAGAAGAAACGAGGTTCAAAAGAGCCAGGAAAACAGACAGAACATGTCAACAAAACAGAAGAAAAAGATAAGAGGCTCAAAAGATTATCTCGTGTTCTGGCATTATATCCTGGCAGCAGAAAGACCCAACCCAGCAAGGTTCAAAACATGACCTAGTGTTTCCAATCTCCTACCCTTTCCACTACATCAAAGCTCCCCTCTCAAACCACTACCTGAGTAGTCTCTCGATAAACTAATGAAGAGAACCAAAAAAGAACATAGGTATACAAACAAATAAAAGTGGTGGAGTTTGTTCGTAGACGAGTTCAGAAGCAACAGAGTACTATGTGCACAACAATTTTAAGGTCAATATTGCGAAATAGAAAGATGTTTGCACCCTACGGCAATCCCATTCATCAATAGATAGAAACACTAACAAAAGTGAAAGAACTTTTCATGTCTGCACAAGCTATAGAAAACAGTAAAAGAAAGCCATAAAATTATTTGAAAAAGAGAAAAATGGGGGAGGAAGAAGAATGATGCAGGTCTGCTAGGTTGTACGTTGTAATAAATGGAACTAGGGCAACAACAACGATGAAGACAACTACAACAACAACATCATCATCAACAACAACAACAACGAGCCTTTATCCCATTATGTAGGATCAGCTATATGGATCATATGTGCTATCGTGCTAGGTCAACAATCTTCATTCAAATTGAAGTAATTCAAAAACTTTTAAACCAAATGGCTGAGCAGGAAAACTTAGTACTTAACAGCTGACTACCTTACAAAGTAAAGACAAGAGTGTGTTATACCATGATTTGAGTTGTTAAAGAGCGCATGCTTAATCATCTTTGCACCAACTTGTTGATTGAAAGCATGCAACAAAATTTCCTGAGAAATGAAATCAAGGAGCAATAAAGACTCCTGATTAGGAAACAAATTATGCTTTTAATTTCAACAAGTTCAATCAATCAAATATAGAAGTTTCCCAACTAATTGTCTACTCAGTCACAATTTTTATGGAAGCATAACCAAAAGCAGCATTTTTACTCATCACTAGGCAGGTCCCATTTCTCATGGCCAACATTTTATTACAAATTTAAACCAACCAAAGCTAAACGTCAAACATAACCGAAAGCAGCATTTTTTATCATCATAAGGCAGGTCACATTTCTCACTGCCAACGTATAATTACAAATTTAAACCAAAAAGCTAAAAGAAAATACAACCCCACTGCATTTGCCTTTACTTTTTACTGATTATCAATTTTCTTTTTTTTCATTTTAGTTGCTACAATTGTAGCCAGTGAGGTCTGAAATCTATCCTCTAGAGTGTGAGCTAAATGCCTATTTAACTTCAAGTGCTTCTACTGATGCAGACAAAGAAAGTTAGAAGAACTTTATACTTACGCCCACGATGATGCCCACGATCATCATGATCCTTGGAAGAAACCAAAACGTTAAAGAGCTTTGGTTAGTTTAATATTAAGCAATAAAGCGTTAGTTTCTTTGTTTTTAGTAGTGTTGTTTAGGGTATTTCAGTAATTTATCTATTCTGCAGGATTCCAGAATAATAGGAAACTAAAAGTGAATCCTAGTTGTCTTTGGTTTAGGTTAAGTTTTAGGTCTATAAATATGTTGTACTACTAGGAGAAGATCAGATTTCCAATAATAAAATTTTCCAGCGGATGTGTGATGCTGACTTTAATCCTTCGGTGTGATGCCTAAAGGACACCAAGGTGTGAGGCTAAAGTGTCTCTAAGAGTGATTCTTAGAGTTCATTCTCGTGTTCCTCAGTCATTTCCCTACGGTTATCTATTAATCTTCCACAGCATTCCACCTATTTAAGGTCTTATTAACTTAACCACCACGTTGATATACTATTGTAAAAAGCCGATTGATAAGGAGTTTTTTGCTAAAGCAAACAACTGGTAAAATGGAAGTATGTAAATTCTAAACCCTAAGGGTTTTGAAGACTGCTTCGCGGCATGAAGCAGAAGGTGTGAATCTGTTGTCACGGTGATGTAAACATGGAGGTACTGCTTAACCTTACTAGATCTTAGATAGCCTTGGTATCAGAAAATATTAGACAAATTGAGAAACTAGAGGAATAAATCATTTACTTCTCTTGCTTGTGGTTAATCTCATGCCCACTTTCTTGGTCAGATACATTATTCAATAGCAAGTACATATAACTTAAAATAATTCTGCTTAAGAATCACGAGCGAGAGATTCACAACCACACCACTGTGGATCGAGCTTGGCCCACAACCAGAATCCTTCTTCAGTATTCAATGACATTATTCCAAGACAAAAACTGAATGCAATTAAATGGTAGAAATAACTGCAAAAAAAAAAAACATATGCATGTTTGAGAACAATACCTCCAATTCTGTCGAAGTATAAGATGGGTCCAGGTTCTCCAACAATACAAGAGTGCCTTTCGCATCAGCTTCACGCATCCTGTCCTCCCAGGACTTCAAAAAGAAGAGTGCAAGGAAGGTTGTTAAATGATAAAAGACAATAAATCATATGTTTGATATTTCATATAAAGCATAGCAACCATCTCAGGCTGAATGGAAGTGTGAGATCGGATTGCGTTATTCAAATTAAAGACGGCTAAGTATGATATGCATAAATATTTAGTCGAATACAAAGAAACATAAATTTAGTGCAAAAGAGGTTAAAAACCAGAAAACTTTCTTTTAGAGGTAGTGTCAGAATCAAAAGCAATCTTTGACTGGAAACATAATGAGACAAGAGCCTAGATGTATACCTGCTATTATACACATCAAAGACATGCACACAGAGAGAACGAGAATACTAGAAGTTTCAAAATTTATCAAGAGAATCCTGATTGTGTTTTTGGAAACTTTCTTTTATTGTAAGTTAAAATGTAGAGAGCGTACAGTGTTTGCATGTTTTATCTTACTGAGAAGTTTAGGGAAAGGTTGAAAGCCCTTGACGCTGGGCTTCTATGAGCTGAAAGCAATCAAGATTCATATAGCAAGAATAATTTTCAAACTGTAAGCAATTTGGACAGTAGATTTGAGATAAGTCTGACAAGCAAAGGATACAAATTTGTTTTGGAACATGAAACATGTTCTGCTCCTTAACATATATGATAATGGGCACTTACTTGTAGTTGCTTGAACCATTTGCTTGAATCCTGCAATCATGAATAGGTATGAATTTCAAATATCATAATGTCAAGCCTAGAGAAACAAATCCAATGATTAGAGCACTCGTCAATACGGGCAAATTATATAAAAGAGGAAGAAAGGCAGAAATTATCTAAATTCATACATATTATCCTTGATATGTCTTCCCAGATCCATCTTTCTGCTAATCAAGGGATCAAATACTTTTAAATGGTACCAAAAGAAAACAATGAATTCATAATCTTGGCCAAAAGAGTTTCAGAGGTATATTTGGAGCAAGATGCATATTGCATGTCCAAAACAACTAGAAACCTTGATCCTAGGTCACTTACATCAAGTTTCATTTTACTAACTGCTCCCTCAAACTTTCTATCTTCCCTTAAAAGGTACTTTATTTCCTACATGCCTTGAGGCATATAACTCTAAGCACATGCTCGAAGTCACTTGAAGAGGGTATCTCATTTTCAGATCTACTTGGATGACGTCCAATATTTTGTTTTTCTTTTACTTTTGGACTGACACTCACCGAGGTTCAAACTCAGGACTTCAAAGTTCTAATATGTCACCTTTACTGAACTATCTTAACTTTATTTTAAAAAGCATTTACACGTAAAGATAACTTAGCTAGAAAGCCTAAACATGCATCCCCGTATTCTCATTTTCGCTATACCTATTTGATTTCATCTTCACATTTAGTCACCTAAGACTAACATACAAAGCATTGTTGGCTTTGTCTCAGATTTACATAATTCTCCTACCAATTTCAATATCACCTAAGACTAACATACAAAGCATTGTTGGCTTTGTCCAGATATACATAATTCTCCTACCAATTTCAACATCACTTGCACTCACGAAGTACGAAGGACACGATTTCCCATTTTCTACAACATACAAGAAAACATAAGTAGGGCTGGCAAACTGAACCTAACACATAGTTCAAGTAGGAGTGCATGGATTCAACATTGGCAGCTTTGATGATTAGACTCAGCACATGCTCGTGAAAATAAACATGGCAATGCAACTCAACAACATTTCACCTCTTACCATTTCTCATTTGTAAATACCGAAAATTAATAAGCCTGAAATGGTGAAAGTGTAATAACCATTACCAAATTAATATAACCCAAATGTGACGTACTATTAGATGTATTTTAGGTTAAGTCAGAATCAGATTTGTGATGTTTTAGGACTCATTGGTCCTTTTAATTTTTTCCCATCAGGAACATAATTTCACGTCACGTTAAATAGGTTTTCCAGTAGAGCACCTTTCTGAATAATGTACCAGATTTCTCATGCCGGGTTACCCTTATAAATAAACACTTCGTGTTTGGGTTGATGTGTGCGACACATATAACTCTGCGATTCTTTTTCAAATTCATGCCAAATATTAAATACTTGTGTCTCAACCATTAGAAAAATGACGCTTACCATAGTCAATTTAACGTTTGCTTCAAGAATAGATCCTAAATACTAACTAGAAATTAAGCCTTTATCTAACAATGCCGGTCAGCCGTATAGACATATTGCCATTGTGCTCTACTAAGACACATGTTTTCACTCAAAACCAAATAAATCATGATTTTTTTGATAGTTTCTTCTAGTTATTTTGAGGTCTTTCTTAAAAGTTTCTTCTAATTCTTTCCAAGTCTTTCTCTTCAGTAATAGTACAACGTGCTTATTCTAATGCCTCTTTTCAAACTTTCAACTGGGCATTCACACTTTTACCAATCTCTTTGATTGGAAACTGTCATATGAAAAAAAAATGATATGTTCAACAATGGCTTTCTGCAAAATAACATAAATAAAAAAATAACAATGACTCAAAGCTGATCATTGATGCAGACTAATCAGAAATTAACAGAACATATGTTTCCAAATGTCTTTTTAAAGTGGAACCAACTTTGCTAATTTACTAGCTAGGCCTTAATCAAGACAGGAATCTCAAGTTTCATCAGTAAAATCTCATACAAATTTCTCATAGACAAAAAGAAAAAAGTGCCAAAACTTAATAGTTTACCAAATCATTCATAGCGAGTATATTAAATAAGAAAACTCCAACAATTCAAGTTTATTTTTTTTGCAAGTGTATACCGTATTCTGCCTTCTCTTTATATCCAATGTTGGTCTAAAACTTTGCACAACCTTGTTTTGTCCATGCTGATAAGTCCCATTCCTTGCATTCTCATTGACAGTGATTCCTTTGGCTGGACTTCTATTGTTCCTCCCAGTATCTCTGGAGTTCACCAAACTTTCCTTGTTTCCAGCATTGCTCAAAGGTTTAGCTCTCCTAATTTCTTCATTCATCAAAAAACTCAAATGTGACTAAGTTTACAGTAAATCTCACCATACGCAAAAACCAGAAAATTCTAAGAAAGCTACCTGAAGAAACTTGAAGCTTCTTCTTCTTCGGAGCTTGAATGTCAGCCCCACCAGCACGTGATGACAGGCTAGGATAGTTTCTTTTACATCTTGCAGAAGACCCATCTTTCTCAGGAGGAATCACCCGTCCACTTATGTTACGATTTGGCACCTTCATTGCTAGCAAATACAAGAAACCAGTCATGCAAAAGTTTATATAGATCTAGCGTAAAAGGTCAATACTTGTGTCCTCAATAGAGACCCTTCAACCAAACTGGCTGCAACAAGTAGAACTACAACCCCCAGTAACTTTCTGCTCTTTTGTACTAGGAAAATGTCCCTTTAAATCAGTCATTACTAACAGCTACTTTCATTATTAGTTGAAATATACATTGACAAACTTGATGGTTAATAATAAACACTTGTCAAACTGAGCCCATACTCACCAATTCGGTTTTCAGCCACGGAAGTTGAATTTTGCACCTTTCTTGAATTGAAGTAATGAATCACTGAGGATAATGAGCAATCAGAGTACATCAGGAAATCATAAAACTTTCTGTCACAGCATGCAGAAAGATACATAAAGATCTAAGTTTAGTGACCATTCAAGTAATCCAATCAAAGTAATGGCCCATCCTAACACTGAACCATGCAGAGTAAGCCATGTACTATACAGATCAGTAGCCATCTCAATCTAACACGACCTGGAAATTCCAAAATTAGGGATAAATTCTTCCAACTTCTTATAGAAACAATGGTTTCTAATGTGAAAGTTTGTACATACACACATAGTTGAGAACTGACTGATAACAAGCATACAAGAACTTTGATTTCTAAATTACTGCTTGTATATAGTATCAAGCAGGACATTTGGCCAGTCAGCATTGTGCTGGAATAGTTTTCTGCGGCTAAAGATCAGATTGTGATGTTCCAAAAAAAAAGTGCAGTTGAGAACTTAGTACAAGAAGAAGCAATTGCCTGATTAAAAAATAGTCTGAATCATTAATGAATGCCACATTGACAATAGAAAAATCAGAGGGCGATTAAACAGCAAAGTTTCAAAAATCAATAATTACATCTAAAAGAAATATATGAGAATAAGAAACAAGCAAAAGTAACATTCATACACAAAACTATTCCCACCATCCACGATTTTGTAAAACCTATATCCAGTTATAAATCAAAATTTACATGACACAACAAAAATTCCTCGTAACCTTCAACTCCAGCAATTTCATTAGCAAAATTGTTGGATATTTTACAGCTTTGAACATCAAAGGTACGGTAAAACAAGTAATCAGCCTTGCTCAAATCCACAGCTGTTGGTTGAGGATTTCTAGGATCTTTGGAGGTACAAACAACATTACATTTCCCACATATTGTTTCCTGAAAAGAGCATGAAACAGAAATATATCATGCAATGAAATTCAGAAAATCTTAAGCCGGGAACACTTTAAGGTCAATTAAAAGCCATTTGACATTCAAAATACGAAAATAATTGGAAAGAGTGCTTTAGGCCAATTTAACAGTTTGTAATCAAGGTTTTGTTGCATATTTTGTGTGTAAATATCGCTACTTCCCAGCAGATTTATTAAAATGTTTTAATACATTTGGAATCCAGATAGAGCATTTTGGAATCCAGATAGAGCTCAAGCCACATGAATTGATTGTTTGTTCCTCCGAAGAGTATTTAGTCAAAAGAAAGATATAGGACTGTAGGTCTTATGATCTATGTAAGAAAACCAACTAACTATGTAGCCTTCACAATTAATTACTTGATAGCAATGACAGTTATTTCTTTACATAAGTTGATCATTTTTATCCAGAAACTACAATTATAGTGGTGGAATGAATTAAAGAGGTGTAATCAAGAATAACAAAAGGGCACTCTTCAAAATTATCTATATGTTTTTGGGACTGATAGAAAAAACACAGGTTGTCTTACAATTTTATAGAGCTATTTATGGTATGGGAGGCAAAAGATATCTACAACATAGGAAAAATGAAAGAAAACAAGAAAAAGGATAAGGATCCGACATTTTGGAAAATAACTAGTCTATATAAAAAAGGAAGCATGTAGATTATCTTACCAGTGGATTCAGATTGAACAGTCCTTTCCCCTCCCCAGAAGCTAAGAAAAGCTCATTTTCAGATGGCTTCATATCTCCTAACCAATGTTGCACCTCTGAAGGGCGAAAAAACCACACGACCTTCACTTTTCTTTTGCGGTTTGCTGTCTCCCATATCTTGACAAGCTTACCTATGTATGGCTCAGGATGATCGTCACACCACAGATAAACGCAATCGAAAAGGAAGTATTCGACGCCATCAAAGGTGAACGAGTCATAGAATTGCACGCTGCCGTCTGGTCCGCCAACACATCGTTTACGACCCCAACTAAATTCAAGGTCCTCCTCATCTTCTATTTTTGCATGCTTCAACAACTCACCTTGATCCTTGGGTTCCCTACTGTAGATAATGAGAATAAAGGCACAAGGCATTCAGCATTCTATTTGCCTTGCTCGAACATTGTCATTTAAAAAACCAAGACAATCATTTCAAAAGGCAAATGCAGTTGATTACCAAATAATTAGAACGAAGAAGAGAGGAAACAACCTAAAACTTAAACGACATCAACATAAACATATGCCTAGACAAGAGAAAACTTTTGACACATCCAGATTCAACCAGCAAACACTACTGCAAATATTCAATATGTCAATCAAGATCACAAAAATCAACAACTTGACCATTGTGGAAACTTCCATGTTATCTAATTTGTCAGAGAAGTAGAAGCATGGTTGAACTTGTTTCCGAACCCTTCATATGTTCTGCTATTGAGATTCTAAGGGGTTTGGATCTTGCTATTAGTATTTTGATTCAGTTTCCAATATACTTCAGTATTTCTTGTGTACTTCAGAACTTCAACACACAAATCAAAAATAAGACCAAAACCCAAAAATTTTCCACACAACTTGATGAATTTTCCAAAATTACTGAAACACTCAATTGTATGAACAACTTGCTTTCAAAATGGTCACAGGAGATAAACTACAAAAGAAAAAATGAATCCTAAATCAATTACCAGAGAAGAAATTTTTTAGTACTCAATTGTAGGAACAACTTTCTTTCAAACTGGTCATAGGAGATAAACTACAACAGAAAAAATGAATCCTAAATCAATTAGCATAGAAGAAATTTTTTAGTACAATTTTGTAAACAAGTAAAATGATCTGTGCAATAGTTGCGGCTGGTGCTTAGATGCTTTTATTCATATGGAAAAATAGGATTACTATATAGTAGTCCATACTGACTTTAGCCTGAAACTGAGATTCCCCAATTTTCTTGTCAAAAAAATAAAAAATAAAAAATAAAAAAAATAAAAAAATAGAGAGAGAAAATTACAGTGATTATCTATTTTCAGCAATCAAACATCATTGGACAATAAGTAAAAACGTAAATACAATTAAAAGAGACAAACTCATCTTTTTGTGACAATAATGTCACGATGTCAACAGAGTAGAAAAGAAAATAATGTAATTGGCGAAGTACTCTTCTCCTGAAATTCGTTTCAATCTGTCTTTCAAGAAATGTTGATAGTTTGGCTCAAATCAAGTCACCATCTAAATCTATACTTTACATTCAGAAATTCAATTTGGTTATAAAATTATTTCTCAAATAATATGAAGGGTAAACAACAAATTATTTCTTCCCAGTGTATATTATTAGTAAAATTATTTAAAAATAAGAAAAAACGACTGCTCTAAAAACTATTTCTTTCCAAACATAGCGTACAACGTAATATTATCATATATTATATATTCAGATATCGATAAGATCCAAAGAACCAGCAATAATTTCAATTTTATAACTTCGATTCCCCCCTGAATCCTCTGATAAACATAATTTTCAAAGAAAAATTTCAGTCCAAACACTGTTATTTCCCTCCTACTAAAATTTTCTTCCCCCAAAAGGTTTTCTCATAATTTTCAGAACAGAAAACATAAGAGCAAACATAGCCGAATGGTCTTAATCAATCAGCGAATCCAAGCAACAATTTCCCTCATGAACCCCAGACTGATTCTGATTATAGCTAATAAGAATTTAACAAGCACAACCTCTGCAATGTCTACGAGGTCGGCTAAAAACAACACGGTCGGACTGGGAGGGACAGTGCAAAATTCCCAATAATTAAGAAGTTAATGGGTCAACAATGGACCCGAACAAAGTGGGATTCTAACAGTGGCAGGTGCTTTTTTTCGAAATAATTATTATCAACAAAAAGAAGAAGAAGACGAAGAAGTGGAAGAGGAGACCAGTGAAATGGAAATCGTTATTCAAGTATTTTGCGTTGAAACTTCATTTTCCTTTTCCTTCTACATCAACCACACACATTTCGGACTCTGTTTCCATAACAAAGCCCAGACCCAAACAAAAAGAAGAAAAAACCATGGAACTTGCAATAAAAAACAAAGAAGCAGTAGAAACAGCAAAGAAACCAGAGGAAAGAGGAATAGAATTTACCTCATTGCAGCTGAAACTGAATCCATAGCCGCTCAATGAGCAAGAGAAAATCCACCCCACTCAGAAAGCCATTACTAAATAGAAGGAAGAAAAGGATTAAACGGAAGAAAGGATGGGAGGAAAGTAGGACGAAACTCAAGAGGCAAATAGTGTGTGTGTGAGAGAGAGAGAAGGTGGGTTTTTGCTCGAAATAGAAGGCTTTTCTTTTTGGTTGCAGATTGGAAGAAAAAAGAAAGAGGACATTTGAGGAAACGGTGCTAAAATGCGCCGGTGGTGCCGTGTAATTATAATAGTGTCCGGGCGGGGCGAGACGCAAAACCCATGCAGTGACCGATTCATTTCCCCAGTTCTCATTCTCAGTGCACAAATATTAAGGAAAAAGCATAATACACATTTTGTCGTTTTGTGAGGTGCTTGATTACGTGTCATTCTCCGTTGGTGATAATTTACTTGTTCATTTGATGGTACAATAACGATGATAATAAAAATCAATACGTAAAAAAAATTATTTAGTCCTGTTTGGAAGTCAGTTTCATTTTCATTTTTGACTTAAATATGGATAATTATTTATTGGAAAACGTAATGCAAAATTAAAAAAATTGTTTGGATAGTATTTTAGGATAACGACTATTTATGATATTGAATTAATTCTGTGACCATCATCTACCATTGTCGGCGTTGCACCGATGGTCACTAAACTATTGTAAATTCTTCAATTTGGTCACTGAACTATTTCAATTTTATAAATGGTCTCTATACTAAATATTATGCTAAAATATAGTTTAAGTTCAATTTCAAAATGTAAATTGAAAAGTTGTTTAGACGGTTGTTTATTTTGCATTGGGTTTTATGCTTAAGAGGTAAATTGAGTTAAAAATGTAGTTTGAGTGGTTGGGCAAACAAACCCTGAAGTACAAGATGGAATAAACGAGCTTTGTGTGTACATTAGTCATGCTATAATATAATATAATGAAAAATATTCTTTGTAATTTTAATAATATTCTAACTTTAGAAAAAGAAATACACATATAATAGAAATATAGAATACAACCAATTTTCTACATGACAACTCCCCCTCCCCCAAAGAAAAAGAAGAAAAAAAAATCGAAATTTGAAGTTTTACAAAAAATGAGTAAAAATAGTGAGTAGCCTTCAATGAACTTGGGATGGAAACGCCATCGAGCATAGAGGACAGACAATTGAAAGGAAAATAATATATATATATATATATCTATACATATATATATAGATGTGATAAAATTCTTATTTTTTAAATATATATATATATATATATATTGACAAATTTAAAGGACATAACTTTCAGTATTCTATCGGAGTTATGAAAATCTTTCTAATTCCCAATGAAATCTTAATTAAAATTCAAAGAAGAGAAAATGAGAAGACACGTGAAAAATTACAGCTACAAAAATACTCAAAACCATGACTGATCAAAATTCAACTAATAATGAATATTAATTGGTTTATATTATTTAAATAAGGAATAAAATAAAAAAAATAATGGAAAAAAATAAAAGGTCAGAAACATTAAAGGAACACCAAATATAATACACAAAGTCTCTTCAAATTAAAAATAAAAGAAATACCAAATGTAACACAAAACCTTTTCATTTTCTTGGTTGAAAAAAAAAGGAGAAAAACCCATAATTAATAGTTGAAAAGGACTACCAAACTGAAATCTATATTCTGCAATTGTAACATATGTTGATGAAAAAAATGTTTTCTATATGTGATGTTAGAACTTGAAATTTTCTATTCTAAGATTTATAGTTTTGTTCAGCAATTTTCTGAATGTACAAATATTAATAGAAAAAAGTATACCCATTTTGTAGTTTTGTGAGGGAGGTGATTATGTGTCATTCTTCAATTGGTGGTATTTTACTTTTTTTTGATAGTTTAATTAAGATGAAAATAATATCAATACAAAGAGATGATTATTCACTATGAAAAATGTTATTTATATGTATCATTATACGATGTTAGAACTCGAATTTTCCTAGTATAAGATTTATAGTTTTATTTATCTACCTACACAAGTGAATAAAAATTCACGTGAATCCGAACACACTTATATCATGTCAGGAAATAATATCAAGCACCTAGGTATACCTAGTTAGTGCGTGTATCACAAACTTGACCAAAAGAAAGCGGCCATTTTAGTCCGAATTTTATGATGTCACACACACATTTAATCCCCCAATATTATCCCTTTTTTTGTGGATTTAAGCCTCCTAATTTTATCCATATTTTTAGTACACGTTTAATTTTAAACTTTTTTTTGCTTATCCAGTTAGTCTTATATTATTTTATTTTATGAGAATTTTTTTTTAACGATGGTTTTTATTTTTATAAAATTTAATATGGTTCATCATTGAGACTTATGAATATGGAGAATCAATTGGAGCAAAAAATTTCACTGATTAACAATGGAATCTGGAGAATTAAGCGTCAAATTTAGAAAATTTTGATGGATACGATATTTGTTTGGATGAATAATGGTACACTTATCGATAAATAATGGTAATATTATGGATGAATAATGGTGTTCTTATAGTGACAACATTATGGACAAATAAATTTAAATTTTGTAATCAATAACAATAGAATTATTACCAGAAAAGTCCTAAAAAGTTTCTGTCTATATTCACTTGGTACTAAAAAGTTCAAACGTCCTTATGTCCCCAGAAAGTGAATTATTTTGTATTTATTCAGTTTTCCGTCTAAAATGGAATAGTCAACCGTGAAATCACATGCTAGTCACGTGGGTTGACCGAGGGTATGGGGCATCCAAAAAAAACGAGTCTTCAGCCTTACTCACGTGACTTGCACGTGTTTCCCACCAAGCGGGAAATTCAAAATTCAAAAATTAATATTTTGAATTTCGCCGCCAAAATCCGGTTGTGACCACCGGTTCAACCAACAACGTCTACCAGTTCAGCCGGTTCAACCCACGGCCGCCACTGGTACAACCACCGGCCCCAAAATCAACCACCGATTCAACCGTCGGTCACCGGTTCAGCCTACTAACCATAAAATAGACAACTAAGCCCAATACTATGGTATTAGATTATTATGGGCCAATCCAATTAATTGTTTCTGGGCTAAATAGTATTTTATAGAAGTCCAATCCCTTTAACAAACCTTATTCCCTTATAACCCTACATTCTAAATTATTTTTATAAAAAAAACGGTGGGGCCGCCGGGGGGAGAGAGAATCTAGTTTGGGAGATTAGGGTTCTTTGTTGTCGAACTCAATCCTTGCAGATTTCTGGCAAAAAATAAGTCTTTTGAGTGAAATATGGGTTAGGGATTGGAGGATTTCGATTGATTTTGGGATTTTGGGGTTTCTTTTTCGGACTGAGAGGAAAGGGGATTAAGGTTTCTTGAAAGGTTTGAAATTTGAAGTGTTTGATCTAATTTATGAAGAAATGCGTCGATCTCCAACACCGTCGCCATTCCCAGAGCACTCTGTTTGCTACTGTGGCTTACCAGCGGAGCTAACGGCAGCAAAAACTTCTAATAATCGAGGGCGAAAATTCTTCGGATGCCCACGATATTATTTTGGGGAATCATGTGGATTCTTTGATTGGTTCGATTCAGAACGGTGCGCACGATGTATCCAGTTGCTGCCAGGCTTTTTTCAATCCTTGATCAAGAGAAGGGAAGAAATTGCCGAGAAGAATGATTTGTTGGCCGAGAAAGATCGAATGTTGATGGAGATGGATCACAAACTGTTGGCTTCGAGGAAACAAATAAAGATTCTACTCTCTGTTCTTGTTGCAACTTGGGCATTTGTGTTGTTTCGGTCGAATGGAAATGTTGGCAGGGAAAGGTGAATTAGAAGGAAATTGTGGCCAAGGCTGTTTTAATTAGCAGTAATTGCAGTTGTAGTTGTAGTCAATGTTCAAGGTTTGTTTTGGTTTTGTTTAGTGTTTAAGGTAAATTATGTTGTGGTTAGTATTCTACTATTAGGTTAAATGTATGGTGTTTGTAATCAAGCCTAAATAAATAATCGTAATTTTTATCGTGTTTGTAATCGGGCCTAAATGAATAATCGTAATTTTTGTCGTGTTCGTAATCGGGCCTAATTATAATGCACTTTAATTGAGCATACATTTAAAATTTTTAGATATTAAAATTAACACCCCTCAATTTTGTATTTGGTTATTCCACATAACTTCACAAAAATCGGTTGAACGATAAAAAAGATATAAATATCCAGTCCATTCTCCTTTACTAAAGGTAATTATACTAGAGTCCAAGTCCTGGACTCCTGCCTATTAGGGGTAATTTGGTCATTTTGTCGATGGGATCGGATTTATAACTTGATTTTTTTTTGTGAAGACGGGGATCGGATTTGTTGATAATTCCGATTTACATCTTTATAATATCCCGTCCCCAAAAATGTGCAATGTTTAATGTTAATGTGTATTGTTATTTAAAGTACCTTTAGAATGAATTTTGATTTTCAGTGCATATTTTAAATTTCATCATAATTTATTAGAGATTGTAAATTTCATATTAATGTATTATACTTAGGCAATTTAATACTTCCGTTATATATTTACCCAGTTCCGGCCATTCACTTGGTCAAACTCCGCTACCACACTTAATTAATTTAATAAGCCAAATTTATTTATTAAAATTACGCATACATTTAATTTTCTTAGATATTAAACATAATAAACATAAATAATTTAATTTGTATTTGGTTATTCTACATAACTTACAAAAAATCTGTCGAACGAACAAAAAGACATAAATATCCAGTCCAATCTCCTTTACTAAAGGTAATTATACTGGAGTCCAAGACTTGGACTCTTGCCTATTAGGGGTAATTTGGTCATTTTGTCGATGAGATCAGATTTGTAACTTGATTTTGTTTTTGTTTTTGTTTTTTTGTGAAGAGGGGATCGGATTTGTTGAGAAAAGCCTAAAAAATTTGGAGTAAAAAAGGAACCAAACAAGGCCAAAAATTAAATTACATCACCAGTAAGACCTAAGAACAATATATGGGAAAATTTGATAGTTATCGTAAACCATCTGCATTAACATATATATATATATATATATTAGAATAGATTCCAGTGATAATTACTACTAATAGTTCACTGAATTAAGATTCACCCTGAAACTACTACTACGGAATCCAAACAGCAAAAAACTCTAGAAAAGTTTGAGTTACATCAATACTAGAAAAGGACATAAAGATAGAACTGGAGCCTTTAGATGCAATGAGTGAATAAAGTACTTTTGCGAGGATTTGCACCATGGAAGGTTTTGGCCCTTTTCCTCCCGACGGATGTTTCCACAGCTTCCTCACCTAATATCTGAATTGCCTTTTTAGGACTACTGCCATGACCATCAGCATCAAACCTTACCTTAACAGCATCTAGCCTTGCACTTGTTCTCTTTGGTGTTGAAGGGGCTGATTTTTTGCGGTTTTTGATGGCTTTGTTGGCAGCCAGTAAGGTTACGGCTGTAGGGAGATTACAACTTCTGCTTCATGATCATCAAAATTGCCCAACAATGTCACATTTGTTATTGTTGCTTCTGGCTCAGGGGACCTTTCATCAGCACTTGGAGTTTGATTGGAATCCTGTTCCAACTAGTCCATCTACAACAAAGCATATCATTCAGCCCATGGAAGTTGAAAAGAGAACTAAATCAATAGAAGAGAACTAAAGAGAACATTATACCAAAGAACTAAAGAGAACATTACATTTTGGTGCTGCTGCTGATTGCTTGACAAACTGTCTTTTGTATTATTTGGTTCTGCCACATCATGATTTTGAACAATGAATGGTGCAGCTGGGTCAGCAGAACTAGATGGACGAAGTGTTGAAGCCACATCTGTATTGTTTTGTTCTGCCACATCATGATTTTGAACAATGAATGGTGCAGCTGGGTCAGCAGAACTAGATGGACGAAGTGTTGAAGTCAGTTCCTCCTATAAAAACACATAAAATGATATAGTCATTTGTAAATATCTCCTTAGATCCCTAACTGAAGTACTTAATGCAGTAAGAATGATAAAAAAAAAATGCACCTCTGATAAAGGGCAATTATTTCTGAGATGTCCAAAGTAATTGTAGCGGTCACATTTGAAATCAAGAGTGGGACAGTTGTCATCATCATGAGTATTGCTTCTGCAACGACGACATCCCTCATGCATGTATCCATCGTCAGGTGATGAATATCCACTAGGTATATAATTATCTGGTGCACCAGGGGTATTGAAAATCTGCAAATGTGTTGTTAAAACCCATATTTACATGTGATCAACAATTGTCAATAAAGAATAAAGTTCAAATTATGTTACAATTTAAAATGGTCATCAAGTTTACCTCTTCCAAGACCTCATCATCATGAAGCCAGTTTTCAGCATCACGAATTGGACAATCTGCGATTGTGTGGTTAAGCAAGCGGCAATGGTCACATTGCACCACACTAGTATTTTGCTAAAAAATATTAACACCAACGGCTTCTTTCGATCTCTTTCTTGCCGGTTCTGGACATATAGACTTGGTATGTCCCATTTGCTTGCATTGCTTACACTTTGAGTGTGTTGTTGGTGGCCTACCCCTCCTTTTTTGTTTTGCCGGCTGAGGATTGTTGGTATCTCCTTCCCCAACAGGCTGTGAAACAACAAACAACAAATTCACGTAACCTTTCGTCAGTCAATCACGTAATCATTCTAAACCCTAACTTACAATAATATGACCAAAGAGACCTTTGAAATTGATTCTTACTTGGCTTATGCCTTCATCCACCAGATTGTGTGGATTTTTCTTTGGGGGTCTCCTTTTCCTCTTCGGTATGGGTGGATTGGTATCAACAACAGTCCCTTGGCCCTAGTGCGTAATGAAACAAAAGAAAACAGAAATGTATTAAATTTGGCAATTAAAATCGTAACAAAAACTTGAAACAAAAAAGACGGAAACCTGTTGAGCTACCTGATTTGATTGGTTAAGTAGATCCGGGCAGTGTCTCCTTATATGGCCAGTCACGTTACACTTGCTGCATTTGTTAACACCTTTACCCTTCTTTTGACTTGTTTTAATGGATCCTCTCTTGTTCCTTCTCACAGGTTCACTTATCCTTGTTCCTGCTACCTTTGGGTCTACCAATCTTATGCTTGAATTCTGGTGGTTGCAGTTGTGGACCATCATGCTTTTTCCAAAACTTCTGCCATTTACAGGTACTATAATGTGTGCATAAGCCCTCTCATACGCCGACTTGGAGTAAAACTTGTCAATATATTTGTCAACCTTTTCTCCATACTGAACAATTGCACTAATTGCATGAGAACAAGGTATTCCAGTCAGATCCCACTTTCTACAAGCACATGCCTTCTCTTTCAGATTAACCACGAATTGATCATCAGAATCAATCGTACCGATCTCAAACAATGGACCTCCTGCATGAAGCACACTATGGCCTGCAGCTCTCTGAGCATATTTCTCTAACCTTCTTTTAATCTTAGGCCCAACAACAAAATCATTCCTTGCCAGCCACTCGCTCTTCTTCTGCCCTCTCTTGGTTAAGTACACTCTAAGCCATTTTAGCATTCCAAGAATAGGAAGCTCCCTACCATGTAGGATAGCGCTATTAAAACCCCCACTAACATTGTTGGTTAACATATCAGCCCTAGCTGCTGTTTCGAAGTGTGACCTACACCAATTAGCAAAATTCAAATCATTTAACCACCTCCAAGCAGCTTCATCATGATCTTTTAAAGCTGCCATCAGCTCCTCATGCTCTTCTACATAACTTGATTTCGCTATTTCAAAAATTTTTTGTTTCAGAAGAAGTCCAAGGTGCTCCTTTTTGAAGTTTGACCACAATTGATGCACACAATGCCTGTGCGAAACTGCTGGAAGTTTGGACTTAATAGCTGGCAACAAGCCCTGCCAAAGAAATACCGATTATCAGAATATAACAAGAGTTAAGGAACAGGAAAAAAAAACCAAGTATCACTGTCATATATGATTATATAAGGAACAAAACATAATATAAAAAATAACACAAAAACATCAACGCTGACCTTTTGGCGGTCTGAAATTATCACCCAATCAGGTGAGTCTTCAATCTCTAAATCCTTAATCAGAAAATTAAGGAACCACTCCCACGAATCCGTGCTCACTATCTCAACAACATCATAGGCTACTGGAAACATGTTGTTGTTTGCATCAAACCCAACAGCAGTCAGTACTATTCTCCCGACAACAGTTTTCAAAAACGTCCCATCTATACTAATTATTTTCCTACAACCCTCTTTGAATCCCCGTTTGCATGCTTCATAGCAAAGATATAACCTCTTAAAGGTATTAGGACGTTCAGGGTTAGGGTCCTTCATCAGCTCAATTGTGGTGCCTGGGTTCAGCTTTTTGGTTTCTTCTATGTAACCTTCCAACTTCGCAAACTGTTCCACAATGTTGCCTCTAACCTTTTCGAGAGCCTGTATCTTGGCCTTGTAAGCTTGTGTTCTGGAAATAGTAATCTTCTTCTCATTGAGAACTCTAAATTGCAGAGTTTCCACACTCATTCTTGGATCATGTGCAAAATCAGCAAGATACCAATCTGAAACGATGTTGGAGTTGCAGTTCCTATTCTTCTCCCAAATCTTGTCACAAGTATGTTTATCATTAAGAGTTCTGATCTCAAATGTTGGATCCTCTTTTGAGACTCTAGCCCCATACACTTCCCAGTTGCAACCCTCAACACACCGTGCATGGACAACTTCAGTATCATTTTTTTTGAAGTGAGTACCCCTCCTTTCAACAAGAGCATGTACTGATGGCTTTTAACAAAATCCATTTGTCACCAAATCTTTACGTGACTTTGAAGGTTGGGTTATGCATCTCCTTCTTAGGGTTAAACTCTCTATACCTTTTAACTTCTACTTGGTCCTCCTCATGCAATTCATCACAAGAAGCCTGGTCAGATTTTGAATCTCCAGTCTCAGGTACATGTGCATAAGGCACAAACTCAGATGGCTTCCTCAAACTTGCCCAGCAGGAAGTACGCATGGACTCATTGGCATATTTGCAGCTACTTTCATAATCAGAATCAGACAAGCTGTAATCACTCTCTGGTTCATAATCTTCATCATCTGCATCACTCTCTTCACCTTCATCTAAATATGCTGGACGTTTGTTTAGGTCCTGGTAATGGATCATATTCATTGACACCTATCCTGTAGATAACAACAGCCTTATCCCTTCTCTGCAGACGTGATTTCCATCAGTGATTTCAAATCTTGATCTGAATTTAACCTTCTAAAGCCATCAAATTCTGCAACATTAGTGTCTACGTAGAATAGCTTATGAGGCCTGCAGAATCCAATACGATCTATAAACGAGTTAACCTCTTCAAGCTTAAGGTCCTTAGTCTTAACTTCATCAAAGTAGTCCACCTGTCTTGAAAGAAAACAAGTTTTCGAGTCTTGTTTGTCACGAAACCCCCACTGTGATGAATTTTGACAGTAACAAGGCCAGAGCCTTCACCTGAAACAACATGAAAATACATTAATACACAAGGGTTTAAGAGAGGTTGATTGAATAATATATGCATATAAAAATAAAATTATTCCTATGATACACAGTTTCAGAAACCCTAATTTCACTTATAAAATGCATCTGAAAAAAAAACATGGCACTTATGCATATGAAATAAACAAAGATGGCACTGTTATATTTTATTAACTGAAGCATACAATTTTTTATTCAATTTCGAAAATCAGTTGTCCCTTCCCAACAGTACAACATGCTCCCTGCACAACTAACACCAATCCCTAACCCACAATTTCAGTTAAACAATTCTAAACCCCAAACTCATAGTCAATACTAAATTATAACACAAAAACCAAAACAAAATATAACACAAAAACCAAAACAAATTACTTACCGTATTCCGGAATTTCAGAGACTTCGTCATCAGGATGAATGTAATCCTCTCCCCTCCACATCGACGATGAATAGAGCCAAAAGAGCGTGCTCTTGGACCTTCAGTGTTAAAGCTGACTGCCGGCGTTGTGAACTCCGATGACAAACCCGATGGCCTTCCAATTGCAACGAACAACCCTTTGCTGCCTTTTCGATTTCGAAAACCCTAACCCCCTTTACAGTGAAACCGAAGAGGAAACACAAAAAAAGCCAAAATCCTCCAATCCCTAACCAAGATTGAAACATGTTGTTGTTTATTTTTGCAGAAATTCACTAGATCTGATGCGTTTTGAAAAACCCTAATCCCCAACCTAACACCATCTATCGTTTTCTCTCTCCCCGAACCCGATAATTCCAATGACAAAATGGACAAAATGACTTTTTTTTTTGTTTTTAACTAATGTAGGGTTTCATCTGAAGTTTGGGTTTTAACTTTTCCTATTAAAAAAATTGAATCGGCCCAGAATTTATGTTGCCCATGTATTAGGATTGGGCTCAAAATAAAAATAATTGGACCATTTGATGATTTATTGGGCTATCAAACTCCACTTTTGCCCCACTGTCACTGCTGGCGGAATATTGCCGGCCAGTGTCATTGCTGGCAAGTTCTCGGTTACCACCGGGAATATCACCAGTGCCATGTATTGGCCGGTGGTCAATGTTTGTTGAACCGGTGGTCAACTACCGGAATTTAGCCGTGACCGGTGGTGGACGGTCGTAAACCGTCGGCAAAGTGGCCGTAACCGGTGACGGGAGGTGGTTGAAACGGGTGAACCGGTGGACGTCGTTGGTTGAATTGGTGGTCACAACCGGATTTTGGCGGCGAAATTCAAAATTCAAAATTCAAAAAATTAATTTTTGAATTTTGAATTTCCCGCTTGGTGGGAAACACGTGCAAGTCACGTGAATAAGGCTGAAGACCTATTTTTTTTGGACGCCTCATACCCTCGGTCAACCCACGTGACTAGCATGTGATTTCACGGTTGACCGTTCCATTTTAGATGGAAAACTAAATAAATACAAAATAATTCGCTTTTTGGGGATATAAGGACGTTTGAACTATTTAGTACCGAGTGAATATAGACGAAAACTTTTTGGGACTTTTCTGGTAAATAATTCATAACGATATTTACAATGATAACGATATTCACAAAGATGAATAATGATGCAAATCTGATGAATAATGATCACATCCTAAATGAATAATAATATTACAATGAAGAATAGTTGTAGTTTTGTAAGATGAATAGTTGTACTTTAATGAATAAATAATATACGTTAGTGGAATAACTTTGATAACAAGAGTATATATTACAATGGGTTAATATCACCAACTAAACTAACAAACTTATAAATATATATTATAATAGACAAAAAAAAATGAACAAAAAACCAGTCATTGTTCTTAACATATAAGGTTTTGAAGGATTTGCCGATATTCGATACATTTATGTTGATTGTTTGCAGCAATGGTAAAATATTTTATTCTCGACCGATCGACTTTATCTTGATGAGCATTTCTTTGTTACTGATCAAACAAGAAGAATATTATAATAAGTGAGATTCCACATTTAATGAAAACTCTATTAATTATCAATAACAATGCTATTGAAGATGAATAATCATTTTAAAAATGATGAATAAACATTAAAATTACATAAATTGAATCTAGTTAATAACAATCATGTAAAGGTACATATTAAATGATGAATAATAATATCACTGGTGATGAATGACATATCTTTGCATGATGAATACACATATCTATGGAATGAATAATACATGTTAAAAGGATGAATGACATATATTGACAGGATGAATAACACAATTTTACAGGATTAATGACACACATTTACAATCGTGTATGTTCACATATTAAATGATGAATAACAATTCATTAAAATGAATGACATTTCTTTGCAGAATGAATGATGTTTACAATATGACTAACGTATATTCAAAGGATGAACTATTCAAATTCACATGATGAATGATATACATTCACATGATTATATCAGATCACTCTTTAGATGAATAACGGCATAGTAGAGGATGAATAACCATCATGTTTGTATACACTTAATCCAGACCAAATGCCTACAATGAACAAAATACTTAATGAATAATGTCTTAATAGATGATGAGTAATCATACTTAACATGATGACTAATTTTTAGATCTGTATACACCCAATCCAAATCAAATATCAACAGTGCACATATAACATGATGAATAACAGATTTGTAAGGAATGAATAATCACTTTTAATGGGATGAATAAATCAGCATATCATACACTATATCCATAAAACGTAAATTATATTTAATTACAATAATAAAAAATTATTATTTCCTGAGACTCAACGTCGGAAAGATCAGAATTTTCGACGATTTCTTATTCCAAATTTTTGATAAATAACCACTAATTACGGATGAATATTCCAAAAAAAAAAACAAACTGATGTTCAATGAAAACAAATTGATGAAAAAATCAGGCTGATGAATAATGTCAAGATCTATTATTGACGATGAATATCACATTATCAACGATGAATAATGATATTGAAATAGTGAATAATGCCCATATTTATGAATCTCTTTTAAAATCAACAACAAATCGATGAACAAAACTAAGAAATTAATGAATAAATATTTATAATCGAATGGACATACCTTAGATCTACATAACCCAACCAAAAAACACATCAATTGTTGAAGAGATTAATAGTATTATCTCCTTCTCTCTTCAGTCATCAAGTTGCTCTTATTCGAATCAGAGTACCCAATCGTGGCGGCCCTCTTCATGAATATTTCAGAAAAAAATATTATTATTAGAACTTCATACATGGAAGAAACAAGCAAAATCGATGAATAAAATCATATATTACCTTAATTCTCATATTCAGCAACATATATTGCAAACAAACTCACGGGATTTGATACACAACCGGATTGCGTCTTAAAAAATGCCGCTGACGAGAGGTTCTGATGCCAAATCGCTGCAGAGATAAAATTTGGGTTTTTAGATTTTTTTGTTTGAGACGTCTTTGGATTGAACGGAATATGAAGTTGGATATGATTAATGGTGGATAAAAATTATGAGAAATATCAGGAATTGAATATTTGAATTTTTTTTAACCCCTTGTTGGGCGCGGGTGTACCTAGGTGCACCTCAAATGCGTTTCTCATCTCCGTTAAAAATACTTTTGCTCTCATTCAAAACTATTTCAAAAATCAAATTCACGTATTCATGATTGATGCAAGGTATATCCATAGATTACTCTCTTGATACCATCAGATTTTGTAGAATACCATTGGAGAAGGGTTGGGGATATTTGATGAGTGCTATGTATGGGGTTAAAATTGGTGGAATCGAAGTCCAAGATCTCTTATGTGAAAACTAAAAAGGCTTAAACAATTAGTTGTCTTTCTAAAGTAATGCCTTTGGGGATTTTCCTAGAGTTATAAATCTTCAAAATTTATAAGTGGTGAAGATCTTTTGGAATTCTCCCAAAAAAAGGAAAAAAAATAAAAGAGTAGTAGTTTGATAAATCTTAAATAGATGATGTAGTAGATTTAAAAGGACTTGAGTGCAGGCCGCTAAATATGTCTTGGTTTTTGGTTGTTCTAGAATAGTACAATATGCAGTGCATTACTTCATGACATTGAATAAGCATTGTGCAATTACTTCGTTTAGATTAAGGACATCAAAAAAAGAATAGCAAACATCTTGCTTTTGTTCAAAGCAAAAAGAAAAGTGTAACAAAAGTTTTTTTTTTTTTTTGAATTGGTACTTGTATTAATTAAGGGTTACCTAAACTAGTACATCTCATTTTTGCATAAGCTAAATCGTGTAGATCCTGAAATACAGTCCGGTTTACCTTTATCAGTGAGCAAATCCGAAAAGTAGACATTAGGGTACGTATGTTGGCGATTATCTCCTGAGCTTCACTCGGAAATTTAGGGATTTCCTGATCGATGGTCAAGAGTTCACAGTCTGTGTAGATGTGGAGGTTTTGAATGCCCAGAGATGATGCATCTTGTAATGCCTGTAAGCAGGTAGTAACTTCTGCTTGGAAAGGTGACAGTGAAGTTATAGAAACTGTCTTGATCTGCATCAGCATCCCGGTAGAAGAGGTAATTCGCCAGGCTCCTACTGCCTTTTTGTTATGAGGATTGAAGGATGCATCAAAAGTAAGTGCTGACAGTGGATCAATAGTTCTTCTAGTAGGAAGGGGAGGTGAAGTCGAGTCCGTCTGTGGCCTCAGTCTGGACAGCAAAGCCTTGTGCTGCTTAAGGTCCTGTTGTATTAATCTCCATGAAGTGACAGGATTGTTTGTCTGACTTCTCCACACTTTATCGTTTCTATCTAACCAGATACGCCAGAGGATTAAGAGGAAGATGTCGATGTCTTCTGAAGATGGTTGAGTTTGAATCCATGAGATAAACCAATCCAGTATGGAGGGCATGGAGCCATTTAAAATTGATTGAAAATTAGGGTATGCAAAGCTCCAAATTGCTTGAGAGATTGGACAGTTGAAAAAAAGATGAAGATTGTCCTCCGATCCTGTAAAGCACCTTGGACAGGAAGTATCAACCTGTATTCCCCTTCTCACAAGTTCTTGTTTGGATGGTAAGGCATTGAGTGCCGCCCTCTAAAAAAGGAATTTTTGTTTGGCTTGCACTTTGGCATTCCACAACTTCTTCCAAGCCAAGCTTTCAATTTGTGAGAGAATCTGTTGGGTTGCTTGAGCAGGGAAGATGGGAGAATCTCGATTTAAAGCTTCATGATACCCTGATTGGACCGTATAGGAACCATGATCTGTCTTTTGCCACATGAGTATATCTGGTTGCATATGCCTTGCATGATCTACATATATTCCAGTGATATAGGGAATATACTGGTCTGGGAAAAAGAACTGAAGGAGAGACTTTTCCATTGTCCATTCAGTCTGAGAAGATCACTGACCATCAGATTGGAATGTTGAGCCAAAAAGGAATTGCATTGTATAGGATTGGTGACTCCGAGAATCCAGTTGCTGGCAATCTGGATATCTCTACCACTAATAACCTTCCATTTGATGTTGTTTTGAAGGAGTTTTGCTCCCCAGAGAACACTCTTATATCCCCAAGTGGCATTGGTGGGTGGAGTCTGATGGGGAAAATTTTCCATGGTGCAGTATTTCCCTCTGTATATTCTGGATAAGAGGGAAGTTGGTTGTGCCAATATTTTTCAAGCATGTTTAGCCAAGAGAGCTTGATTGAATTCTGTAGTGGCTTTGAGGCCTAAACCCCCATGGAACTGTGATTTGGCCATTTTCTTCCAGGATTTCCAGTGAATGCCTTGCTCCTTATCATCACTTTTCTATATAAAACGAGCAATGATTCCATCGGCTTTCTTTAATGTGAAGCTGGAAGTTTAAAAACTCCCATCGGATATACCAGCATAGCTGATAAAGTAGCCTTTGCCTATATAACCCTCCCAGCAAAGCTAAGAAGCTTTGTCTTCCAGTACGCAAACTTCCTTTGGAGCCTAGCTGTGAATTCTCTAAAGATTTCTGTTTTTTCCCGTTCAAAATCTAGAGATAAACCAAGATATTTGCACTGAAAATTACCTTCTGGAATATTCAAGGTTTTGTGCACCAAAGTTTTCATGGAAGAAGATGTATTCTGACTCACTAGAATGGAGGATTTGTGATGATTGATCTTTTGAACTGAGTAGGAAGCATAATCCTCAAGTAATCCAGACAGTGCCTGTATAGAAGTGTCCCTGCACTCGAGGAAGAATAGACTATCATCAGCATACATAAGATGGCTAATCCGTGGCGCCTGCTTGCTGATTTTGATACCTAGCCCTGGAAACACTTGTAGCTCTGCCCTAATTGCCGAGGAAAGAGCTTGTTGGCATAAAATGAATAAGTAAGGGGACAAAGGACATCCCTGTCTGAGACCCCTGGTAGGAGCAAAATAAGGCAAATGCTCACCATTGAACTGGATGGAGTACATAACCGTGGTGACACAGTGCATGATTAGATTGATGAGTCTTTGTGGGATACCAACCTTTACAAGTACCGCTTTCAGAAAAGGCCATGATACCCTATCATAGGCCTTGCTTATATCCAATTTGACTGCTGCAACTCCTACATCACCCTCCTTTTTCCTGATGTATTCTATGACTTCATGTGCAAATAAAATGTTCTCACTGATATTTCGCCCTGGGACAAATCCATTCTGGTGTTCATCAATGAGCTCCGGCATAACCTGCTTAAGTCTGTTGGTAATCATCTTCAAGAGAATTTTATACTTCACATTGCAGAGACTTATTGGTCTAAAATCCCCTGAAGTGACTGGATTAGGCAGCTTGGGGATAAGAACAATATTAGTATGGTTCTATTCATGTGGGAATTGTTGACTTTTAGCTGTTTCCAAAATGGAGGTTTCCAAGTCTGAGCCTATGATATGCTTATATATTTTATAGAATCCAGCTGGCATACCATTTGGGCCTGGTGATTTCCACGATGACATTTGTTTGAGAGGCTTCCAAATTTCTTGGGCAGAAAATGAGTTTTCCAGAGCTGTGCTTTGATCTAGAGTGATATCTTCCTGCATGTGGTTGAGAAATTGAAGAAAAAATGGAGAGCTTAAGGGATCAGAGTTTATTTGACTTCGTGGGACTGAAAATCCAGAAGAACCCGACGTTTGCACATCATAAAGATCCTGAAAGTGCTTCAAAAGTACTTGTGAAATCTGTGTTAAATCATATAACTACTGTCCTTCACTGGATTGCGGTTCAGTGATCCAGTTATTACTTTTCTTCTTGAGAATTCAAATTAAACTCCACAAGTTTTTGAAACCCAATACACCCTTTCCCTTGGATTATCATTCGCTCGCGGCTAGCAACATCAGACCAGACGGTGCTGCGAATGGCAACGGCAAGCGGAAGGTGGCAGGGCGCCCTCCCACGGGTTGGCTTAAAACTTGGAATATACAGTAAAGCTGCTGCGTTTCAAACTGTAGTAAAATGCAATGTGAACTCCCTTCGTCCCAGTGTTAGTGGTTCACAACTTCACCTGCACATGCTCTTTCAGCTCCGCAGAACACCAGTTGGTTCATCCAGTTTCATCCCGGTTATGCCTGTTCTAATTGTTTCATCATCTTTGGATGAGTGTACAGTAATGTCGACACATTAAAATGAATAAGATGTCAACTCAAAGCTGGAGGAGCAAGTAAAGATGTGCTAACTGGAAAGAGAATACAGCCAGACTTTACAAATCACTCATCTAAGGTGCGATAAAAAAGTGTACCTTAAAGGCTTATCACATTAGATTATATGTATTACATAAAAAGCACATCTCATGCTACATACACAGCAAATATATCAGCAGACAATAAACATAGAAAAGGAAACAAAGAGACCTTCACTAAGGAATCTGATACACGAGAGAAACGCTCACATTTTCAGCGACATTTTTAGTTGTCTGCAAATAACTACAATAATACAACTGAGGAGTAAGTTCATTCTTCCTCGTCATAATCTTCCTCCTCTTCATCCAGCCTTGAATTAAGTTGAGCAATTTGAAGAGGATCAATAGCCATACCATCCACTTCAGAGAACGACCAACCAGGATACTCTTCACCTTTTGTGCCATCAGCAGGCCCAGCTGCAGAGGATACAACAGAAGGGGCCACATCACTGGTGTCCCCTTTTCTTGCATTCTGATCAAGAGTCTGCAAATCATTTGAATCATCAGAAACTTTGACCATTTCTTTTGATGATTCTGCCTCCGCTAGATTATCAACTGTGCTTCCAGGGCTTGAGGTTTGCTTGGTGCTCGGAGGGACCGCCATGGAGGGTTCTGGCTCATTTTCATGCCGGAACGACTCCCTATCTGTCATTCGATTACTCCTACCACGCCCTCTTCCTCTTCCCCGACCTCTCCCCCTGCCACTGCTACTCGAATGGCAAACCTCGTGCTGCAATAAAATATGTTTTCTGTCAAAATACTAGAACAATGAATCTCTGCAGACTTGAAATTGTTTGGATACGCATACATTACATAGAGCAAAAACAAAGATGAAAGAACAACCCAAGTATCAAACTCATTAATTAGTTTATCCATAACAATATCATCAGTTTCTTTTTCGTTCCTTTCATAATAGAACATTGGTTCAACTAAGAAACATATATAAATAAACCATTTTTGGCCATAGTAGAACAATTTATTATTCTGTATTAGAAAACTCCATTAAGCACACAGGTAGATAAAACATTTCTTCGGTTTAAGTTCATAAAAATGGCAAGGCAATTGCAGTATTTATACGAAAAAAAGATGAGTTATACCATTCTGCTCTTTCTTGCTTCTTCTTCAATGTCATTGTACTCCTCAGGTACAGTTTTCCTAATTCAGGACCATGAAAATATCCAACCTTATTAGGAGAATTAAGAAACTCAAAGTTGTGGGAAAAGTTTAGATTTGTTCTCAACCTTCTCTTTGATATGTCAGCAGCAGAAGTATCGGAGTGGCCATAGTCAGGAACTTTACTAACGACTTCCCTTAGAAAATCAAATACATTATAGCTTTGGACACAATGCTTTCTGCATGATAACAGAAACTTAATCAGCAAGATAAACAAAGAGTTCGACTTACATCAATAAATATGATATCCAAAGTTTTGCTCTCTCAAACACCACCGTTTCACTATCACACTTCCATGCCAGAAAAAGATTTAAGATAATCAAATAGACAGCATATTGATTTCTTCGTTCTCGATTTCTATACAACAACATACCCATTATATTCCCAACTCGGTTGGGGTCTGGGGGGTGAAGATGTACGCAGCCTTACCTCCTGTAATTCAATACAGAGGCTGTTTAAGTAAGACCCAAGATGCATTGGTGCATTTGATGTATGGATTTCTGGCAACTGCACCAACCCCATTATAGTTCTCGATATCTATAATGGCCAAAAATCATAACATGAAAGTAAACTTCATCCAAACCCCTATACTTCTAAGACAAAGAAACTTGACGGAGAGACGCAGCAGCCATAACAATTAACAAAATGTGGCGGTAGGACACTTTGCTAAGGGATTTTCAAAAGCTGCCACAAGAAATTAAAAGAACATTCAAAACACAAACCATCTCTGGATATTCGTACTAACTATTAAGTACAACCAGAAAGCAACTCCCACAATAATGTGCAGCAGGAAGAACTAGAGAGGTGACAAATATTAATTTCCTTATGTTCTTGTACATAGAGAAAAGGCAAGAACCAACACGAAGAAAGGTGGGAACTATTGACTAAAAATATGGATAAACATAAGTATATAGTCCATATGCTAACAGATAACAAACTTTCAGAAATATAGAACATCCCCCAAAATTCACAGATCGAGAACATGGAAAGGCGGCTGTACACACATTCTGAAAACTAGAAAGCTTTAAAGATGAAGTAGGTTTTTTCTTCCCAAATCCTCTCTTCCTCTCCATCTTGATTACAAAGAACTTAGGAAAAGCTTAAATGAACTGAAGAGTTGCCGTAAATACTTCCAACAACAGTTTTTTATTCTTTTTACATATTGTAGAACTAATACAACAGTTTTGCCGGAACATCATTGCCATTACAATCTATCAAACTCGGCCTGATTCCTCGTTAATCCAGCCACAATACAAACGATCTTAGTTCAGACAACCAGAAAATAGATACCGAGAAATGCACTAAATACCCCTTATCTGAACCTAAACACCCAAGTTCACAACAATCACTCCAGCTTAGAAATATTCCCATGTAACAGAAAGACCAGAACTAATCCAAAAGACTATTCACAAAAATAGAGCTAAATCACATCAATATAAGTAAGTTATAGAGTAATACAAGGCTTAAGTAAAAATATCCCAGAAGAGGCTTGCTATTATGCAGACCTAACTTCTTTGTCTTCCACATGCCATTTTTCAATAGTTTCACGTAAAAACTCAGCGGCTTTTAAAGTCTTATTTACGTCTAAATTATGAAGTTCCAGAACTTGTAATCCAAGATAGTTCTCAATGCATACATGTCATCACTGCAAGAATTTAGTTTATAAGCTTTAGCATTATCAGAGTAATACTACTGCTGGTGTTTAAGAGATCCTCTAGATTACCAATATATGCAATTAATACAGCCCAGGCATCAGAAAGGGAAAACTTCAACTTAAGTTCTAGGAGATGACAAAATGACTCTGATTTACCTGCATGAACTATTGTGTTAGGGTCCCTCAAATCCTCCTCACAGGACATGTTAACTCTAAAACCAATTTTGATTTTCCTTTCTTGTCCTGTTCTTCAAGGAACTTGTTCCCAAGCATTCAATAATGTTAGGCTTGAGTTATACATCATGACCTTTTACGCCAGAAATACAGAAAAGACACAACCAAAAATAAAAGAAAAGAATTCTGAAGAATAGTTTAACTTATCCCGGAAATCTTGGGTCTTTTAGCGGTTTCAAAAAGTTGATAGTTCGCGAACAAAATAATAGTAAATCGTCATTTCAAGACCAAAAGTTGGGCTATACGTATGCGGACATCTACTGGTTACGGCACAGTAAAACGTCATTTTTTTAGATACTCATTTACTCTAGAATTGCATCAACTTTTTTGGTTTTCTTTCCCTACCCTGGAAAGCAAGAATTGGATTCTATCTTATAGCTTTCTGAAGTCTTCTTTCTTCCTGCATCCCTTCAAGATAGTAGGAGCAGAAGTTGCCCCCATGATTATCACTTTTTGAAGTTAGAATCATCAATAGTGAAGCAACTTCAGACTATCAACATAGGAACTTCAAAAGACTCCACGCTTAACAATGCTAAATGAGCATCACTCTAACAACCTATGCTTTCATAAAATCACGTGTTTGAAGAAAATTCTTCAAAGGAGACTTTCAGATATACTCTTCTAACTGTTATCACGGCGCATGATTGTTAACTTGCTATCTCATTGTATACCATCATGTATACCATCAGATACAGCCAGCAAGACCAGTTGTTGGTGGCAAAAGATTTTGTCACACAAAAAAATAAAAAATAAAAATAAAAATAAAAAAAGCCAAACCTCTGGAAGCCTGTTAGTTTCAGCCAGAAGAAAGTATCAGCTATTGGCTGTGATGGACAATAAACTATTTCCTTCATGGTTTTGGCACTTGGACAGCCTAACAACTGTAGACTTTCTATCATCTCAGGTATAGTAGATAGGTCGAATTTACAGCTTGGCACACAGGCTGGGTGAGTAGATAAGATGATGACCAATGGACAGGTCAAGAGCAGCGGATTCCCCTCCAGTGTGAAATCACATTGATTTATACATGCAGAGAGGCTCCAAAAAAGCTCGAGACAAAATGTGTTTTAGGAGGTTTCTAATTGAAGAAAGAACCAACAAGTTGGAAAAGAGAAAAAAAAACAGTTCCCTACTTCAGTTTTATTCCAAGATTCATTGGTAGTCTCTAATTAGAAATTCTAATCAAAACATACTTTGGCATTTTTTGTTTACATCAACTAATATCTAAACAGACTTTATTCATTTCTGGCTGCACCTGTACCCAAAACACGTGCTCGAGCACTCGTAATCGAAAAAATTGCATCTATAAACTGCCCTACTTCAACTACTTTACACTCTGGAAATGTAGAGATCTAAATTAGAGAGACAAACAGAAATTTGACAGCATACTCATTGAGCCTTCAGGTATCACAACTTCACAGACCACAAGTTATCTTAGCAGATTCAGAGAAGGCATTAGTTATTTAAACAGAATTCATTACTACAATTCGCAAACAATATATCTTTAAAGGAGCACTACTCTAGCATCAAAAGCGTAACAAATATATTGGAACTTGTAAAAGCATAAAACATATTAACGGAAACATTCTCTACATTTCAATAATCTCCAAACTAAATGGCTAAAAAACAAAGACATTTACACCATACAACTATAATCTATTGACGTTGCAGCACGACAATGATCATCAATGGGATACACAAGTTAGAAGAACTCCTCAATGCAGAATTCAACTTTGATTTCCTCCAAGAACACTTAAGACATGGAAGATCTTTAAATATCCAAAGTCATACAGTCAGTACGTGATTAAATCTTGCACAGAAAAAATTTATTAAGTAAACAAAGACGAGAGAAAACTGAAAGTAATCTCATCACTGATAGAAATCATTGAGCTTGCTGGCAACGTTTCCTCATCTTCCCCAACATAACAAACTGATACAGTACAAGGTCGATAGTCTAACAATAAGTCAAGCTTCTTTGAAGATTAATGGTGGCTACCCTATTGTGTGTGAGCTTTTGCTAGTTTGGCCCCGCTGTAGTGGCCGGGCTCTTTTTCTAATACTAGTTATGAATTTAGAAAATAAAGCTAATCACGGAGACCAAGTTAAGTGGTTAGATGTTAGCACACATACGAAAATAGTGCAAATACAGCACAATATTCAACTTTTAGCAATTCGATTTTTACTTCCACTGATTGTCCCAAGTGCACAATCGGCAAAACCTTCAGCAGCCAGTCCAAGATGATGGCTGCATTCTGCTCTAAAACCTAGTACAGGATATCACTGATACATGATAAAATTTTCTACTAAAGAGGTGACCTACGACGAGAATTCACAAACATATTTAAAAGGGGGAAAAAAAAAGTGGGTAATACATAGTTTCACAAATAACAAGAAAAGAATGAGAAATTACTTCCACAACACACCAAGATGGAGCTAAACTTATCAAATCTACAACAAAAACAACAAACCACTGTCACAAGATTCTAGACGTCCATCTTCTTATCCTAAGATTCTAAATGTACAGATGGAGAAATTTTCAGTCAAGTTTTAACAACTGGATAACCTAATAAAAACATCTGCACAAAACCAATAAGAGGTAAAGAATCTCACAAGTGCAATGAGCTAACAGTCTTTGCTCCTCTTTGCACCGTTATGTCATAAGTTCGATCACAAAGGTCTTGAAGAAATAATTCCAAAGCCTTGGCTGCATCAGTAATTTAAACAGTTAACATAAAGATTTTGGATGAATAACACAAGATTTAAGAATTATGATACAATAGCTCTCTTACAAACTAAAACTGGCACGGCCATTGCTATTTTACCAACATCCTCATCAGCTTGCATTATCTTCTTTATTCGAGCCTACAAAGAGCATTTACTATATCAGGGATACACATTTGGGAAAAATGCTCACAACAAATTTTGCTAATGCAAACTTTTCACCCATCACAAGAAAAAGACAAAGTAACTAGCTCATTTCATCACAGATGCCCAAAATTGAATTTTTTTTCATTGGATGCATGAACATAGTCCATATCAAGCTACAATCTAACATTCAACTAACACTGGAAAATTGCAAAAATGCACTTGGCACACGGAACAGGTTTGATCAACCATTTTAAATCAAACTTGAGTAAGCGGTATTGTTCAGCACTAAAAGTTATGAATCAAGCTCAACATCATTCCTACAGCTTTAAAAAACTGATCGCAACTACTAGAAGGTACTACAGGAACAGGTTAACAAGATTCTAAACCCTTTACCCTCATAAAATCTGATGCAATTAATTAAATCAAACATAAAAACAAAATCGTAACTAGATAAGAAATCAACCAAAACCCTGGAAGGAAAGATTCAAAAATTGAAACTATTTCCAGAAATTCTAGCTTTCTTCATCCCTTACATAAACATTTCAAAAATTAACAACCCAAACTAAAACCCTCATCGGAGCAAGTCAGAGGTGAAAAGAAATGACAGCAGAAAGACAGTTAATCACAAAAAGAGACACAAAAGTAGCCATAGAAGCACATAAACGCTTCACACCAACAAAAAAAATAATAAAAAAATAACACAAAGTGCATTAAAAAAAAAAATAGAGAGAGAGAAGAAGGAACGCACAGCAGGGAAGCGGGTATCGAGTTTCTTCCTCATGGCTAATCAGATTTGGACCATTTATTTCAAAATAAAAACTATGAAATACAGCAGCTGGACAGAGAATCTGTGATGGGCTTTAGAGCATATTTAATAGGAAAAAATATTGGGAAAAAAAAAAAAAGAGATTCAGAGCGAAGTAATCAGTGCTGCAGCAATGATTTAGATTTGGTGAGAGAAGAGAAGAAAAGAAGAGGTGGAAGAGGCAAGGTGTGAGGGGAGTCCACGGGTAACGATTCCAGATCCGTTGCTAACGAAGATGCGTATTTGGAGTATTAGAAAGATTTTGTTTGACGACCTTTTTTTTTTTTTTGAGGTTATGTTTTGAAAGTGCATATGCAATAAAATAAAAATCTATAAGTTAATATTTTTTTAAAAAAATATTGAGAGTACGTTTTGAAACTGTACATACATTAAAACTATCTATAAAAATTATGTTTAAAGATGTTTTGGAATTCTACATGCACAATATTTATGTATACTTTCAAAATATAATTCAACATTAAAATAATATTAATTTATCGATAAATTAACAATTAGTTAATAAGATCTTTGTAGACATTGAATGTAATGTCATTAAAAATTTGACTTAAGCTCTGTTTGGTTAGATTGAATTAGAATTAGAATATTATTAAATTGAAAATAAGATATTGAGATTGTAATTTAGTCCTAATTTAATCTTAATTTAAGGTTCTAACACCAATTCTTGCGTTTAGATGCTTAAAAATTTAGAAACTTTAGAATTAAAATTAGTTTTTTTTAAAAAAAATTGGAATCAGCTTGTTATTATTTAACTAATACAATTTAATTCATTATAAAGAAATAGAAAAATAACATAATTTCTCATGTCAAAGTGATTTACTCCCTCCGGTCCTTATTATAAGGTATTTTGATCTGTTCTAGGTTTTATTTACTATGTTCTTCTAATTAAAAATAAAATCTCAAAAATATTTTATAAGAATTGACAGAATATAATAATTATAAAAATACATTTTTAGGTTTTATTTTTAATTAGAAGAACATATTAAATTAAGTTTATGACAAATCAAAATGTCTTATAATAAGAACTAGAGGGAGTACTATGCATATATATAAAACGAGAAGGATAAATTCATTATGTACATATATATTAGAATTACATCGTTATTGCTTAACTGATACAATTTTTACTTTTTTCTAAAAAGAAATAGTTCTTTTTGTTTAATTTGTTATATCAATTTTATAAATTATTAAGTAGATACATACTTATGGAAAATCTTTTTTTTTTGTTACGTAAGAAAATTGTCCACAGAGAAATCAATAGAGTGGATGACAGGTTATCCAAATTAGGATCTGTCAGAATATCAAGGCGATATAAGAACCAAATTGATCTTCCAATATCAATACGAGGTATTTTCTATCTTGATCAAATATCATTTTCATACCTCCGAATAAGATAGTGAGAGATTTATAGGATTATAAATTACTAGTAAAAAAGAAATATTATGATATTCATGCAAGATCTTTGTGAAACAGTCCCTTAGTATAATAACTATTTTGAGTAGACTTAAAATGAAAAGAACTGTAAGGGATTCTTAGATAAATCTTTGTAAGACAATTTCTTAGCTATACATTGCACTAGAACCGTCATGGAATTTATTAGAAAAATTTATGTAAGATGGTTCTTCTCTTTGGGTAAGTTTTAAGCACTGCATTTTGTAATTTTTAAACTTATATTAATAAAATCGGGGGATGCCCGCCAGGTACCGTCCTGAATTTCTCTAAAAAAAACTGATAATGAAATTTTTCACTCAACCGATAAACAAGTAACAAATACAATGTCCTTGTTTCTCTCCCTTATATCATTACTATTATTATTATTATTATTATTATTATTTATTTATTTATTTATTTATTTATTTATTTTTAGTAAAAGGGTAAATCACATTACTTTCACCTCTCCATCAGCAATAAACAAGCCTACCACTTCTATTACTGTATTTACATTACAATACCTATTGATCTAAGGTATCTAATGTCGTCATTTCTTCCTCTTCTACAATGTATTTGAATTTTTCAACTTAAATCAATTTTCATCAAATCAAATCTGTCCTCTAGTTTTTTGCTCCCCTGTCTAATTTTCCTACTATTCCTCCCTGTCCATATATGGTATATTGCAGCGTTGATTGCAACAAAAAACCCCTTATGTCTTAGCTTCCTCCCTTTCCAAAATTTCATCAGTCCGCTTACATTTGCTCTGAAAAGGGATATATTGATATTGATTCTCAACCAACTTTTTAGCTGTTTAATGAGCTTCTGTGAATAAGGACGGTGAAAGAAAAAGTGATCAACACTTTCTTCATTGCTAGAACAGCTCATGTTTCTCATATTTTTTTCAATATTCTAAGAAAATTCAAAACTGCCAAAATATTGAATAATAACGAGCAGGTGATACACTTAGAGGTGGAAAATTCAAAACTGCCAAAAAAATCTTCATCTCAGCAATATGTGCAAAAGGTACGCGACATGGAAGGCAAGTTTTATGGGAGTATTTTCGAGAATTTTATAGACTGCATCCTAGCAAGCCATGGATGATAGGAGGCGATTACACTGTCATAAGAAATCTTTAAGAGTATTGAGGGAATTCAATGATGGATCGAAGAGCTATGGATGACTTCAATGAGTGGATTAATGACTGCAACTTACCTGAATTGCCAAGGATAGGGAATGCTTTCACATGGACATGAAATAGACAAAATGGCCGTGTTCTAAAGAAGTTGGATCGCATTCTTTTTAATTAAGAGTGGATTAACCTCTTACCAGTTTCATCAGTCCATCATTTGAATCGCTCCACATCTGATCACTACTCTTTATATTATCAATTCAGAAAAGATGTAGAAACAAAGCAGACTTTTCAGATTTCAGAATATGTGGTTTCGAAGGCAAAGTTTTATGAGGTAGTTCGGGAAAATTGGGAGCAACCACTTCAAGGCTATGGAATGTTTGCTTTCTAAGTCAAATTAAGGAGATTAAAAGCAAGGTTAAAAGAATGGAATAGATCAGAATTCGGAGATGTGTTCCAAAACTTAAAAGAAGTAGAATAGGCAGTAAGAGTGGAAAAGCTACGTTATGATCAAGCAAGTGAAATTGCGGATCAAATCAGCTTGAATAGAGCACAAGCTCATTTATTCCAAAAACTTCGGAAGCATGAGATTTTTTTCTTAAAAAATGGAAGCTTAATGGCTTAAAGAAGGGGATTCAAACACAGGAGATTTCCATGCATCATTGGTTGAGGAAAAAAACAAAAATGGGAATCCATAAAATTAAAGGTCAGGATGGCTCATGGTACACAAACAGATTGATATTGAGAATGAAGCAATTTCATTCTTTAAGGCATTGCTAATAGCTGAAAGTAATGATCATCATGAAGAAGCTTCTGAGCACATTCTGCAAGGCATTCAAAAAATCTTATCGGCTGAAGATAATGAAATTCTATTACAACAACTTACAATGGAGGAAGTTAAAAATGTGGTCTTTGATTTAGATCCTACAAGCACCCCTGGAGCGGATGGATTTGCGGGGGAGTTTTATCGGCAATGCTGAAATATCGTTCGACAAGATCTCCTCTCAGCTTGTATGGAATTTATTACTAGAATTCCTTTACCTCGAGCAATTGGAAGTACATTGATAACTTTAATTCCCAAGAAGTCTGAAGCTACATCCTTTGCTGATTTTCGTCTGATAAGTCTTTGTACTTTTATCAACAAGATCTTTACTAAAGTGCTCACAGAAAGATTGAAGAAGGTTTTGCCGAGATTTATATCCGAAAAACAATCCACATTTCTTGAAGGCAGGGATATAATTGATAATGTGTTGATGGCTCATGACTTAGCTCAATTTCTGTATCACCCAACAAGAGGGAGAAATTTTATCATGAAGATTGATATGATGAAAGCATTTGATAGAGTATCTTGGGACTTCTTGCATCAGATTCTTCTAAAGTTTGGATTCCATGAGCATTTTGTCAAGTTGGTAATGGCAAACCTTAAAGGGAGCTGGTTCTCGATTCTATTAAATGGAAGTCCTATTGGATTTTTTCAAGCCGGGGGAGGGGGTTTCTTACCTGCACTATTGGATAAGATCATTTTCAAAGATTATCGTTAACGTTGGACAAAATTAATACTATCAATGACATTCTATTCTAATAACAAAGTGTTTTGAATATTGAGTTTTAGTATATTTTTGTTTTGGAAGAGTTTTGATACTTTTTGTTATTGTTTTGTTAAGCATTAGAATTGAATTGGAATTCAGTATCTTAATAATATTATATACTATTAAATAGAAATAATATTGAGATGTATATTGATATATTTGGAAAGTGCCTCGATATATGTAATGATTAAGAATTTTCCTAAGTGTTACACCAGAAAAGAACATATTGATTCACATAAAAGAGTCTCATTTTTTAACTCATTAAATTATCATATTAAATTTGTTAGGACAAATAGCTTAATTGGATATTTATGTATGTCTAAATACTTACTGGGAAGCCACCTAGAGGACGCATACTTTATGTGACGCTTAACCGCGTCCCAATAAGACTTCTTCTTCTTCTTCTTTTTTTTTGTAGTGAATAGAACAACAACATAGTTTTGTCTTCTATTCTGCAGAACTCTATGAGATTTTTAGGCGATGTCGACGCATTATGGATGGCTTTATTATTTGACTATTACATGGCCTAACAAGTCAATTTGTGCAGCAACCACGACAGCCTCATTTTGAAGTAGACATTCGATTTTAAAATATGTAAAGAATGCCCCTGGTCAAGGTATTTTTTATAGCAATCTCCTAAATGAACCAAACCTTTCTAATGGAACTATTAACAAGAAAGAATGAATAAAGGCGTTCGTAAGTGATACTCCAAAAGAGTGTGAAAAAATCACAAATAAATAGATCATTGCACATATTGGAGACTATCCTTTGAACTCAATCGCAAGCCATAAACACATAATCTAATGAAT